CGCTCATTATTCCTATGTGCTTCCGATCTTTACAGCCACATATGGTCTACAGTAGCCTACTGAAATGTTCTTTCATGCATTTTTTATGTCAATTTGCTGGTAAAAGCAGTATTGCCTTTTTGCAGAAACCTTATATTCAGGAAGCACAGAATCTAAGCCCCACTGCAAAAAGCACTTCAAACGATCCTTATCTTGTTTACATTTGATTCATGTGTTGCTAATGAGGCCACTAAGGCTAATATAAATCCCTTAACTGTTTACATAGCAGTGCTAAATCAGCAATATGAAAACAATATGAAACAAGAAGGTAAATACAGCCAGAGGACAATAACTACAATAACTTCATATCAGCCATTAGAGTGACATGAACTGTAAAGTATGTATTTCAAGTCAATGTGATGCCATCGGGCTGACCGAGACCATGCCTTTGTGTCAGAATGAGCAGTTAAGTACATGATGACAGTCGTGTGTGTGTGTCAGTGTGCAGGGCAGGCTGTGCTCCTTATTAAATTGTGACAGTGAGCTTGAGCAGGGGTTGTGTTTAGGCTTTGCATATGTGCTCGTGCTCTTGCAGTACGCATGTCACTTGTGAATATGTGTGTGTGTGTGCATGGATGAGTACGCATAGGCAGTAGCAGCGAGAAGGTCAGAGGTTACTAGTGTTTGTGTTTCAGTGTCAGTGAAGTGTGCTCCAGGCAGAGATTTATGATCATTGTGTCTGGGAGGCTGCAGAGTGGGGGATAATGAAGATAGATCAGGGTGCTATCTCTCTCTCTGGGCACCACTGGAAACATGGCCTATGGCCCCGTCCGTTCTCGTATCATTAACTTCAGCCTGTGACATCATAACGAACTGCCCTGACATCAATCCTAACACAGTGTGCTCTGACAAAAAGTCAAACGCAAGCAAGGCAATTCCTCACAGGAAGTCATCCGGCAAACAGAGGCATTGTTAAGCTTTGCAGCTTCTCTGGGTGTGTTTATGAAGACATGAAATATTCATGGAAACATCATACGTCGTGTGTTTCCACTTTAGATTCAACATATTTGCATTCACAGAGCTATGGAGCAGAGGCCTGAGGCTCGGTGGCAGAGGGAAAGCAGCAAAGGAGAGGAAAGAGGAAAGGGGGGATGATGGAGGGAACAAGAGAAGGGAGGAAGTGAGGTTAGAGGGGTTAAAGTGAGATGGAGAGAGGGGGAGGAGAGAAGGTTTGGAAGACGAGGGGGCCAGTGGTAAAGGGGATGTGAAGAGAAAGGGGTGTGAAATAGTAAGAGGGAGGAAAAGAAAACTGCAGGGTGAGATGGGGAGAGGGATGGGTTGTAGAAGGAGGGAGAGGAGGGGGTTGATGGGATTGGTGGTGGGGAGGTGAGAAGGGAGCGGGTGCCTGTGGCGGCAGGTTTTAATCAGTAACAAGATGCCTGTAATGAGATCACTATTTCCCCATATTCAGATGAATGTCATGTGAAGTTTGGTGCCACACTGAGACAGGCAGGGGATGCAGGGACAAACACATGTGCAGAAACACACACACACACACACACACACACTCACACACACACACACTCACAACACACAAATATACACTTGCTTGCATTTTCTTGGTTACAGACTTAAGCACACATCCTGTGAAATGAAGGAGCTCATTCATCCAGCCTGGCAAAGTGCGCTCATTTAGAGTCCAGCCGCCTTGAAGTAAAAACATACACAGAGGAATACTACTCACAGGAAAATGAGTTACTCATGGCAAAGGAGAAATGTATGTGTTAGGGACCGAAGGGCATATACCTCTATGTACTCCTCTAACAAAAACAAATGAGCACAAAGCTTGGAACAGTTAGAGAGAGAGCCAAAAGCTTTTTTACTGCAGAAGGAACGAAGGGAAAACGAGAGGGGGAGCGGGAGAGAAAATAAAAAGAGTGTGTGCACTTTTTGTGCATATTTTGGGGTGCATTCAGAGGCTGTCGACGCAGCTACCAGCGTGTGTGCCAGCATATGACCGCTCTGCCTATTCCCCAACATATGTGTCCAATGAAAGGTGAACGGCTCTCCTGTCTATACTTTCCTCAAAAATCAGCCATGATGTCACCATGAACCCATCTTGAACCCACCTCTGTCAAAAAGCATTACTCCGGCCCTCCCTCTCACTGCCTCATTTTCTGTTCCACCTCTCCCTCCTTTACGCTGCGTTCCTGCCTCTCAAATTCTTCACTGAGCTCCCATTCTTTTGCTTTTCCTCTTTTTCATATTTCCATATTCTCCAACATTTCCCCTCTCCCATCCATGTCTCTTTTCTCTCTCACTGAGGCACACAAACTCCTTCTTTTTTTCTTTTTTTTGGCAAGCATGGTCTAATTGAATCACCAAAAAGCACAGCAGTTTGCCAAAAATGCCAGGGTGTTCTGATTATCATAAACTTTGTTTAAGCTGTGGTTTTACACAAAAAAAATGCTCTGAGTGCACGAGGGGACGCCAAAAAAATAAAAGCTGAAAAAAAACGAGGAATAGGGGAGAATGCAAATGAAAGAGGGGAGAGGGAAAAAGAGAGAAGAGAGAGGGGTGGTGGGGGCAGCGAGAAGGCAGCCAGAGAGCCACATATGGAAGTGATTCTGTAATTACTGCAAATCTGTGAGCTCAAAAGGAAAGGTCTTCTTTTCCATGCACATAAAACTGCCCTTGTGAGAAAGTTGGGCACTAAATACTGAGCAGGAAACATGAAAAAGTTTTAATTTGCTTTTGCCTTTTGGCATGTGGGGTTGCTATATAAATATGTATATTGTATATGTTTAGTATGTTGAGGGTCTAATTTTGCTATTTTCCTTCACAGAAGAAGAAAAAAAAAAACAGAAAGTCTACTACTGGAAAATCGTCTGCATTCTTTTCTCATTTGCTTTGCTTTGCCTTGGTTCAATCAACCGTCCAGGAAGCTAATCTAACATAAACTGGGGAGGTTCAGCCAGAAATAAAGTGAAGTATCTCAGTTAACTGGCATCATCCACATAAAGCACCAACTCAACAAGGTGCGTGAGGAAAGGGGGCTGTTTGGGGGAGAGTTGGAGAGGGGAAGGGGGTTACAGTACAGACAGAAAGACAGACAGTGAAGAAGGCTTTCTTCTAAGCCTCAGGCAAAGCAGCGCTTTGCAGGTGTGTATGTTGGCAACGACTTCTGTTCTGCTCAGTCCCCAAACAGTTTCGGCAGCCTGTAATTATCTCGTGCCCTGCCATAACGTGTTCTCATAATGAGTGCTCGAGCCTTACGCACACGGGCGATAGAAGTAACACCCGGATTGAGGCAGTTTGAGCTGCGTTTATTCTTAGACACGTCCAATTAATCACAGAAGGAGATGATTTATGTAAAGTACACGATCCTACCTTCTTCGCCTAGAGTAGTATATGCCTCGGCTTCATGAACGAGCACATTCCCGTCAGAAGTTTGAAACATAAACAGTGCATGACATGCGCACGCACGCCGAAGTTTTCTGTGAAGGAGACAAAACAAAGTCAGGGACAGTCTTCAGATGAATCCTCCACCGCAGCACATCATCTTGGAAAGATCACGCCGGTTGGCTTCAGAGATCATTTCAGTCATTTGTCACATTACCTTCGTGTGTTGCCAATCCGTCACTGTGTGCCGGCAGTTCAGGGGCGTAGATGATGGGAGCTACCCTGCGTGGAGATTTCTGGCACTGTGACTCCCCCTAGTGACGGAGAGAAAGACTGCGGCACACGTCCTGTCAATGAGGACGCGATGAGGAGGAAACCCCTCAAGCGAACGCGCAAACAATTACTCAGAAAAATGACAAAAGAAGTCCGTCAAGATGTATGAGAGATAACAAGGTATTAAAGCAATTATTAGTTACTAGATGGAAAGTAATCAAATGTATAAATATATTATAATACAAAGCAAACATTTGTATTACAGCTTTGCAGCTGACGTTTAAGATTAAAAAAACAGTTAGTGTTAAATAAAACCTATTGCATTGGGTTTAATTTAAAACTTGATAATAAAAAATCATTAATTTACGTGCTGCTTATCTCATTTTGATGATCTCCGACATTCAAGCAACTATGTGTAATTTATTTAACGAATGAAAACTCAAGAGTTTAAAACGCATTTCATGACTAATTTGAAATTTGATTTTCAAACGCTATAGTTATTTATCTGCAATAAAACCATTAAAGTGTACTCTTGCATTGACACTTCTAAGGAACATATATTTAGTCTAGATAGATCATGCTTATGCGTCAATGCCATCATTTGCCACTAAGGGGCGCTATCCACAAGCTCTGCACAGTTGGCCTACATCTTCAGAGTCACACAGCAGGCTGCAGAGTTTGTTGCTGACTGAATGTTATAGAACTTTTTGCTGCACAAACATTTAAAATAGGTGTACAATGGAAAACTGTAAAAAAAAACAAAAAAAAAAACGGCACCCTTGAGAACACAGAGTGGACTTGGTTTTACAGTGCTAAAATAATCATCATACATTTAAATCTAAATCTAAAATCTAAATTTTAGCCTAAATTGAGCGTTTGCAATGATTGGCTCACTCCAGTAGCATGTTGTTGCATGACATAGTTTTAGTTGCGCATCTAGAGTTTCCTTTGGCTTTAAACTTGACACTTCTTGTTGTTTGGCATGTCTCAGTGTTCAGAGAACAGGCAGTCACGGTGAGCCACGCCTATTGTCCATGTGCTTCATCCACCAATCTCTCCATCCCTGCGCGCCACACGCTGCGTATTTTGCATAAAATGTGTATCAGTGGGGCAGCACTCTCCCCGGCACATGCAGAGCCCTCATGTAGCGTGGCTTTACTGAACACATAACCGACTGCGGTCGAATAAGCACATCAAACTCCCCTCTGTTCCAGATCCCCGCCAATGAAAATGCACAAAAGCCTGAAGGAGAGAGAGAGGGTGAGAAGTGACTCCGCGAGATACAAAGAGTGAGCCAAATCCCACACAGACACAACACAAATTGAGCGAAGGGACGGGCGGTCACATTTCCTACTCACCTGCAAACGTGAGCGAAGTGGGTGTTTGTATCAGTGGGTGTGTATGTCATAACTGACGCTGTTCGCGGATATGCTGACTCCACTCTCTCGGAATTCATGAAAATCTTTTAATCTCCGCTTGTGCAACATCACATGCGCTCGAGCCGAGGCGCAATATCCTGAGCACAGAATGCATCCAGGTATCTTTGAGAAGACCAGCCTTTACAACTCACCTCTGTCAGATCAGAAGTGAGCACACAAGAGGGACACCGCTCTACAATTAACTGGGAGACAACTTTACGCGCACTGGAGACATTTCCATCACTTCTTCCCATTTTTGGCTCAACTGAGCAGGTGTTTTATGCAAAGCTGTTTTTCAACTTTCTCACCTGTCTTTTACGGACGTCTATCTTCAAGTCTGCTTAAAGTGATCGACATCAACAAGATAAATGGATAACAGCCCTGGTGGTGGTAAGATTAATTTTAACATTATGTTAACCGCTCCTTTATACCATATGCTGATTTAGACATATGATTGAGTAATGATTAACGGGTCATTGGTTAGTGTTTTCATTCATGTTGTTGCCATCAGTCAATAGGGATAAGTATTTAGCTTTGTCTGACTCAACTTTTTTTAAAAAAAGAATTATTTAAAAAGTGAGAAATACTTAATCGAACATTGTGTAAAACACAGCTCCAATATGTGCATACTTGACAATTATGTGCAACCTATGTGAGTCATGCACGAAATATATTTTTCATGCACGTGTTTGACTGATGTTGGTCATCTTATTGGTTTATGAAAATTCGGCATTTAATGACGTCAACTTGTTTCTAAATTCAATAAAAACACAATTACGACTTTACGCAAACTTATGAAAACAGTTGTAAACTGCGTTTAAATGTCGAAAGACATCGCCAGGACTGCAGCTCTGCTGACAGAGAACTGCACCATATGGTTATAGGGAGGCTGGCCACTTCCTGTCTCTCTCATGAAAACAAACTCACGTGGACCTACAGTACACTGGCTGTCACTGTAATCATAATCTGTCCGAGCCAGGACTTCAACTCGCTGACCCTTTATCATCTCACGGGGGGGGGCAATGACACTTTGGCGTACAGGGTGTGTTTGTTTCCATTATCAAGGCCATCAATTTAGTGCCTGCAGCATAAAAGTTGATAACTGCAGGACTTCCATCCGATAAGTGGTATTAGACAGTACTTTCTCGAGGTCAGCCAAAGGTGGACATGCTTTCCTCTCCTAACTGACGGTGAATCTTTTACAAAACGCAGTCATGTTCCAGCACATGGGTGCACCCATAGGCACTGTCATTGTTACTCGAATCCGTGGGCATCACTAAACCGTGTGTGTGTGTGTGTGTGTGTGTGTGTGTGTGTGTGTTGACACAGAGCCCTAATTCCTCCTGCAGAGATGATTGGGTTGGGTTGGAGGGGTTGCATGCAAATGCATTATTCCCCCAAAAGATTATTGTAATTTGCTTGCCGAGCACGCCACCTTCCTCTGGCCTGGCCAGAGAGTTGCCATGTTTTGTCTCCCTCACAGTTCTCAGTGTAAACGTTTTCTTTTTGTTCAGTTTCTTTGATGAAACAATTGCATTTCCTGTATTCCATATAGGCCTACCGTACAAGACCCAAACAGATCATATGCAGAAATACACTGTCATGTCATCAGTTGTAACATAACAGTTGGGAGTTTGTGATCGGCTGTAACAGTTTACAGTCCAACATTTTAGAAAAACTAAAAAACTGTGCATCTTCATTATGCTAATGTGACATGCATTTTGGAATATGTGTTTGCCAAAATCAATATTTTCATGATCTGTAGATATTTGTCCTCATGTGAAGGGTCAACCGTACTTTGGTGTGGGAGTCAGTTGTAACAAGTTCTTTCCTAACACAAATACCAATTTGCTCAGTTCAGCCCAGTCTTCTAGTCCGGGTTGCTCAATTGCACTAGGTCTTAGATTACATCTGTCAAATGCTCATATGATAAAAAGCAGACCAACTGACTTCCTCCACTGTCCACTGCATTACTTTGTACACTGTATGTTCTCACTCACAAATACAGTACGTCCCCTCACACTCCCCCAGTGGAGGCTTTCTGAAAAGCATTAGAAGACGTTGCAGCGGTATTTCATATATTGTTGGTAAACTAGATGCAGCACCTGGCTGACGGTGCATGTGGTGCTGCTGGTAGTGCACATTCAGACCACCCCGCCGCATAGCACGCTGCTTTATTACAGTAGATTCGGCTCTTTAATTATAAGCCCCTGGTGGACTGTATGTGCTCTGGGTTCTGGCTGGAGCGCGGATTCAAGTCTTTCCAGTGAACGCTCTGTCAAAAGTCTCCTCACGTGGCTTTCCTCACAAAGCCGCGTGCGACGCGTGAGATGCCCGCGCCCTCCTCCCGCCTCCCGCCGCTTCCCCGCTCGCACGGACGCTTCTGTGCTGATGCCGCCTGCGGTGATAGTGAGCTTGGTCAGTGGGTCAGCGATTCATTGCATTCACTCCCCCCCCCCCCCCCCCCCCCCCCCCTCTTGTCACGTTTTGCCGCCTCATGCGCCGTTTGCTTGCTCTCTCTAAACGATGCCTAAACAGATATGCTGATAAAATCATACAATCCTGAAAATTATGTGCCAGTGCAACTTTAGCAACATCAAACTATACACCAGGCTATTTAGACTCGATTTCAAATCATATCGTGGTATTTATAAATTATAACTGTAATACAACTCCTCAACTGCATGAGAGTGTGTGATGCAGTATCAGTTTGAGATATGCTCGAGGTGCATGCACATCATTCTAAGTTCCTGTAATGTTGACCTTACATAAGCCTGAGTTAATGAAGGAGAGGAGCTGCTGTGCCTGTGAAGTGCTCACTGCTCACGTTTCTTTGCCTGCCTTCACGTTCCTGGCAGATTAGTGTTGTCATGGGTAGTTTAACATGGGCATTGAGGAAGGATTTAATGCAGTTCGAAATAAATGAAAACATGTAAAACAGCTAGTTGTTTGATATCACAAGCTGCCAAAACTAAGAATAAAAACAGCTTTACTTAAATGTCTTGCAACGTTTGCATTAAAGAATAGAAAATGACAGTATCATGTTTTCCCTCAAACATGATGAGGACTGAGGCCAGATGACAACTAATATCTTCTTCGCAGGTGGCAATGCTATGATCACAAGAAAACAAGAAATGTATGAAGAAGAAGGGGGTCTGCAATGTTTATCAACATGATATAAAGTGTATTGACCTTTCGAATATGACACTTGCAGGTTTTTATATCCCTCTATCGCCTGAAAAGCAGACTGTAAAAGTGATTGCTAATCAGAGTTTACAGCAGAGTGGCTCTTGGGGTCATTCATAAACACTGTACATGTGAGTCTTTGCATGCAATGTGTTTGGGTGAAGTGGGGGTTGGGCCACGACTGTCTGCATGTAAACTCAGGAGGAGGGGAGGCTCAGGCCTGTGTCTGTATGTCTTTGGCTCTGGCATGACCTGGGTGAGGGATTATCAACACATTAGAGCTAAAACAAATACCTCCATGTGCAGCAAAGGGCAACACACATTAACACAAGGAAAGGCCTACTGCACTTGTGCACAAATTTTGGATGTTGGAAATGATTTGAATGTTGGGAATTCCTCCTTTTTTATATATTTCACTTTGTCATTTTGAACGTCTCTCTGCTGGACTCAACTGTAGGCGAGTACACGAGTTGTTAGTATATCATTACACCAGCCAGTCCATACAGTTGAGGCTTTTCATTTGCAAAAATCGGTGGCGCATGAACAGCGGTGGCTTAGAGACTCGGTGCCACCGCACGTCCGGGGAACTTCCCAGTCAGCGTGTGTTTGTAAACACAGATCTGACTTCAGATCGTTATGTATTTCCACACGAGCCTGCGGATTTGCTTTGGGCAGCAACCGTGTCAGCAGTCCATGCATGTGAGGCGCCGGTCAGGTGTCGTGCTCAGCTCATCCACAACGCATGGCGGGGGGCGGGGGGGGTTTGGAAGAAAACACTTCAGAAACAACCACATTGGAACGACAACTTACTTACATGGTGCCTGTATATATGCTGCATTAGCATGACACAGGATTTCTTTACAAAAACGTGGCGCTTCGTTGGTGCTTCTACTGGAAGCCTGCTTGCTTTGTTGCTGGGCTCCCAGCTGTATTTTTAGTGCCCACTTTATCCGCGTGACCGTGAAGGATGGATGAGGCAACGATGCATCATATTCTCAGAGCTGTTAACTGCTGCCCAGAACTTGTGCAACATTACACTCCATCACATCCAAAGCGTAGTGTAATGGTTTAAAGGGAGTATGGATGGCCAACTTTAATTTATGATGCAACTTAATTAGTTTAATTAAGCCAACAATTGCATGCACGGCATACATAATAATAATTTATTAATAATAATAATAATACCTTAATAACAATGCCACTTGTTATCAATATCTAAATGACATTGTGTGCTTTAACGAGGAGCTTGAACTCTCGGCTCAGAGGTCTGATGTTCTCCACTCTTTCCCTTGTCTGCAGGAGTCATCCTGTACGCAGGCTCCTCTGGCAGTTCGAGCCCCAGCCCTGGCAGCCCCTCCAGTGGGTACCAGACACAGTCCCCTTCTTTACACTCCCAGCCCTCATCTCCAGAGGAGGTCACCTTCACAGAGATTGGGACGTTTAAACATAGGGCAGCTGGGTGCACCACCCCTTCCTCCAAACTGATATTCCAGTTCCCAGAAGTCTACAGTTCCCCCCCAGCAGCAGCCACTCCACAGCACACCTATGCGCACCCCATCGCAGGAAAGAGGCCTTGTGGATTCACAGGAACTTTCACAAGTAAGTGTTTCCTCTTTGTCGATATGCATGAAGATAGACGTTTGATTGGCATTTTTCGAGTTCATCTAACTGTCTGTTTACCCTTCCTCAGAGACGGGTGGAATGGTTCTGCTATGCAAAGTCTGTGGGGACATTGCATCTGGTTTCCACTATGGAGTGCATGCATGTGAGGGTTGCAAGGTAAGCCCCTGAAAAAATCATGTGGCGTGATTCAATAATGTGTTTGTTTCAGTGCACCAGTTTCATGTGCTTTTTCTGTTGTTGTTTTTTTGTCTCAGGGTTTTTTCCGCCGCAGCATCCAGCAGAACATCAACTACAAGATGTGTGTCAAGAATGAGAACTGTCTGATCATGCGCATGAACCGCAACCGATGCCAGCACTGCCGCTTCAAGAAATGCCTCTCTGTTGGCATGTCAAGAGATGGTGAGACATCCTGACACATTTCCTTTTTTTTTTTTTTTTTTAAGAGAAAGGCCCTCATGCAGTTCTGCCAGAGTGCCACAGTGTTCTGATTAACAAAAGCAGCAGGGAAATAGGCTGCCTGAGAGAGGCACAGTGCTGATATGTAGGTCTGTGTGAAACATCTATTGCGGAAAGTCTTTTAAGGTCATCGTGCCAGTAGCTCAGCCTCTCACTTTATCATCAGACCTGCACCTGTCTTGCTCTTCTATACTGTGTCACTCACTGCACTGCCAAAGATTACCATCTAGCCTTGTCTAACTCTCTTAAGTTTCTAGGTGTCTTTCTCATGCCCTTTGCAGCATCCTCCCACAATACTCTTTCCTCTACGTTCTTGTTCAGTACAGCCCATCCTCCTCCACGTATACCCACCATGTTCCCTCAGCTCTCTTGCGTCTGCCTCTCAGACAGTGATTTATGAGAAGAGGAGCCTTGAAGTCCCTGAAGCTATCTATCATTTGGAAAACTGCGGCAAACACAGGAATTATTTTAGGAAATTGGAACAGGGTCAACTTGATTACCTTGTGTATGCCCATAGAACATCTTACTGCAATTAATGAGGGATAGGGCAACAATTATGCAATGGATGCAGAAAACAGTCAGTCGCTGTGAGAGGCTTTATCAGGCGTGATGCTCACATCACCTAGTTTAAGTTCTGAAAACTGAACACTGATTGATCGCCTATCGTCACAGATTACGAAAACAGCTGGGCTGACCTAGAAAAACAATACAGAATTGGGCCTATAGTGTACTCGTACATCATGACCTACTTGGTGTAGTGTGCCTGCCTTCTTCTTCTCAGTATGGTTTCTGCTCATCTCCACCCTTCAGTACCCTGCATTGCCTAATCTAGGAAACAGGTTTGTGTTATTTCTGCACGTGCTTGAAACTTCTGGTGCACAGAGAAAATAGGGTGGCGATATGCGACTCAATAAGAGTACAAAGAGTCAGGTCGACCCTTTTAGAGGCGATTTTCGAAACCAATAAGGACCACAACCTAGAAACCCGTTTTTGCTTTGCTTCTGTCATTACGAAAACAGGAAAACCGCAGGCAACTGCCTACAGACCACAATAAATAGTACACCCTCATTCACAGTCACACACCAGGCAGCTGTGTGACTTTGGCTCTGCAATACATTGACATTAATAAGTCCATTGGCATGATGGCACACTTTTCTTCCTCTAACCAGAGCATCATTTGCTTCTTTTTAACCATGATGAAAGGGATTCATCTCATGCCACATTATTGGCCACATCCTCATCAAAGGATCCTGCTGGCAATGAACAGATTACCGTATCTTTGATAAACATAGCAATATACTGTGCATATTACTGTGTCAAGTAGATCACCTCACTTTACCCAACACTGCAGCTTTGTGTTTTTATGTAAATTGCTTATGTTTAACATATGAGAATAACAGTACATTGCCTAAAAGAGTATTGCTGCTATACACATTTTTTGCTATACATCCAAAAAAAGGTTTAAAATATGCTATTCATGCAAAAGTCTTTGAAGCTGCACCAGCGCAACTTGTCTGCCTTATCTAACTACACCTTGCACACACACACACACACACACACACACAGACACATACTCTCCCTTTCTATGCATCACCGTCTCTCATGTCAGTCCACATTTCAAGCACCTCTCTCGTCCTTCTCCCTCTCACATACTTCGTGCCAGTGACATCACACTCACGTTGCCCCACTGCCCTACTTGCAAATGGAGGGAGGGAGCGGGAGAGGAAGGAGACGGGTGGATAGAGTAGAGGGTGAGGCAGATGGTAGCAGGAGTCTATAAATAGCCTCTCCAGCTGATAGTTACTGTGGGAAGAGGGATGGGGCGATGGGTGAAGAGAGGGAAGTTTCATATCAAAACGTACATGATTCTCCATGAAATCACTTACCACTTGAGGAGATTTTATGCTTTTGATGTATGCGTGTGTATAAAAAGTTGAAATAGGTCATGTGTCAATATGCTCAGCTTCTAGCCAGCATAATTAACAGTAGCAGTCCTGTCTTTCCTAAATGGCAACACCGTATTTTTAGGATGCACCTGCCTTTTGATCTTTAAGAAAATAATTTGTCTTGGGGGTCATTTTAGTGCTTGCATCTTTATAATTTTAAATAATTAAAAACAAACAAACAAAAAAAAAAAAACTCTGAAATAATATGGAACAAAACATATCTGTAAATATCCATGTTGTCACAATGACTCAAAGCTGATCTGTCCTCCCTGCTTGTGTCTTCTCTAGCTGTGCGTTTTGGCCGCATCCCCAAGAGAGAGAAGCAGCGACTTCTGGATGAGATGCAAAGCTACATGAACAGCCTCAATGAGTCGGCGGCCATAGACATGGACTCACCTTCAGTGAGGGAGCCTTCCAGCAGCCCAGAAGATGGCCACTCAAAAGAAGCCGTCGGGGCCATCTCCAGAGCCTACCGTGATATCTTCACCAGCAGCAACAGCCACGAGAGAGCAACCAAGGCTGCAAACATCACTACCAACAATAACACATCTCCCTTTTCTCAGGGTGCCAGTTTTACCCAAGTCTCCGCTCACCCCACCTCCGCCCTGAGTTATCAGTCTTGCCCTGTTCCGTCTGCCACTCTATGCCCAGTTGTCCCTAATGACAACCAACCTACATTCCTCAATGTGGACAACAATCGCTACACCTACTTAGTGTCAACAAATCAGAATCATGATCAGTCTAACAGTGCAACCTCTCAAAAAGGCAGCTCTGCCAATCATAACAGTTTTTGTAATGCAGGAAGTACCCAAAATCAGCCCACCTGCCCATGGAAATTAGCTTCAGGAGCTAAAGTGCTGGTAAGTGCAGGAAGCATAAAGCAGATCAAGACTTTGTAATATATATTGTCTGACAAACAGCTTATGATTCTTTCTATGTCCTTTGTCTTTCTCTAAGGCCTGTCCTCTCAATGCGTGGCCTGTATCAGGGGCAGAGCGCACGAGTCAGGAGATATGGGAATCCTTCTCGCAGTGTTTCACTCCTGCTGTCAAGGAGGTGGTAGAGTTTGCCAAGGGCATCCCAGGATTTCAGGAGCTTAGCCAACAAGACCAAGTCATGCTGCTCAAATCAGGCACCTTCCAGGTAATGACATACATTTCAGATGAGTTGTTTAAAATATGTGGCTCCTTCTTTGTGATTCCACATGTATTATTGGTTTTAGTATTTGTCTCAAACTTATCTTTTTGCTCCCGTTTTTTTCCACTCTTTCGTGTGTTTAGGTTCTGATGGTTAGGTTCTGCACCTTGTTCAATGCTGAGGAGCGTATAGTGACTTTCCTGAATGGCCAAACTTACCCCCTGTCCACCCTGCGGGCCTTGGGCATGGGCTCTCTGCTGGACGCAATGTTTGACTTCAGTGAGAATCTGGGCTCCTTGGGGCTAGAACCTGATGAAATGGCCCTCTTTATGGCTGTGGTGCTGGTCTCTGCAGGTGAGAGGTGCACTATTTACCTAATGTGTCGGAAAACAGTGACAAAAGCTGCAGAGCAGTGACATTTGTTAATGGAGCAATAATGTAGTTACTGTGTCTGTTAACCACTCACACTGGCATCCCTCTGTGCTCCACAGATCGTTCTGGCATCACAGACATGCGGGCTGTGGAGCAACTACAGGATGGTCTGATCCGTGCCCTGCGGTCACTGATCACTCGCCGCCGCCCAGATGACACCACTCTCTTCCCCAAACTCCTCCTGCGCCTGCCCGACCTGCGCACCCTCAACAGTCTGCACTCCGACAAACTGTTGGCCTTTCGCATCGACCCATGAGGAGACGCTTGTTCATGGAGCACACAGCCATGAACTGTTTTACAGAGAAATATATGACACCACAGAGACACACACAGACACACACATATTATCTTCCAAGGACAGGACTTCCTTGACAATTGAGGAAAAAAGGAATTGTGCAATCTGGGGAGTAGTTTTCAAAAAGATAAATGGGGGCATTAGTGAACATATTTTTGACTCACTATTGATTTTCATGCTATGTTTTGGGACAAATAAACATACAACCTCAACACCTCTTGAGAGACATTGTTCCAGTAAAAAAAACAAATAATGGTCATGTAGATTTAGATTACCCTGTTGTGCACTTGCTCATTATATCCAGTGTACTTAAGAATAAAAGCCAGTTCACTTCTGTTTATTCCTTAAGCCGTACAGTATCGACAGGCAGCAGCTGAAAGACAGTTATTATTTAGGGACCATTAGAGATGATTGACAATGTCAGCCTGTGTTTAAGAGAAAGGGAACCTGTATATAATACATAGCAAAATATAAAATGTTAAGGTAATTATGTGTCAATGTTTCACAAACATACCATCTGCATTATTACTGGAATGAGACCACTATTTTAATGTGTCACTTGTACACAATAGGATGCATTCTGTTTCTTACTATTTTTGACTGATCTTCCAGAAAAAAATGGCACACCTTGGTTTTAAATATGCCAACTTCATAAGTCAACGGCATTTTATTTTATCTCAAAAAAACATTGTGTCTGTGTCATTATATTGTATGACAGCTGTACTGATTGAGACGCCTCATGCATGTTGGGTTTTGTAGTTCCTTTGTTTATTTTTGTTGCTGTAAATATTATGTTACCCTAGTGTTTATGTATCAATGACTGAATTGATGTGATGGATCGGACAGATGACTTTGGTATAAAGACGAATGTACTGTCCTTCCTGCAATTGGTGGGGGTTTGGCCATGCCAAGGGGGCTTTGCACAGGAGAATATGTAGTAGGGATTCTCAGACGGCTTGGATGCAATTCCTGCTATCCGACGATGAAACCAACCAGCATAATCCCTGAAATCACCAGCACTCACTCCACATGCACCCTTCCTCTGCCCCCAATGTTTGTCATACAAACACAACAGATATTTCTGGGTGAGAGATCTTATTTGATTGGTCTTCTCACTGTTTGATTGTGGCTGATTGAGCACATCTTGTACATTTTGTAAATCTTTATTCCTAAATAGAAATGATAAAATTATATAAAGTTTGAATTATGTATTACTCCGCTTGTGCGTCACTCTTTTGTGTCCATTCGGGCAAAATGGTGTAATGAAGATGTAGTCAGGACCAGTGGTGGAAAGTAACTAAGTACATATACTCAAGTATTGTACCTAGGTACAATGTTGAGGTACTTGCTGCTTTTATGCATGCTTTGTACTTCTCCACTACATTTTAGAGGGAAATGTTACTTTGCAGATTAAGATTTGACATGAAAAAACACGTGAAGACCGAATAAAATATAATACATTGTTAAGATTTAAGATTAAACCACTGGTTCTTAATCTTGTGACTCTCTTACATCAGTAGTGGCACCTAATAATGACATACAGTAGGCTGTATAATAATGATTAACCTATACTGCAAATCAAAGTGTGCACTGGCACATCTCAATAAAGCTAGAGGCATTTTTATTATCAGGTTGCGTTCACTTTAAGAGGGGTGATTGCCTTCATAGTTTAACAATCCAGGTCAGATAGAGCAAAACAACATAGTTCATTATCCTTATTGCATGTTGTACACATCAGTAGAGTAGGTGTGCCGTTTTAAAAAGAATTGGGCTACTTCAAGTAACGGACTATAAGTAATTTAAATGAATCAAATACAACCTTAAGAGTGGACTGGCACTCTGAAAAAGTTGCAACACGGGATGTGTGGACACATGACATAACTTTCTCCTACCGCTGGAAATCAGAAAGTATAGTGATGCCACCTGGTGGTGAAATAATGGATCCTGGGTCCAGGAAGTGACTGGTGTGTTTGCTACCGCAGCTCATCAAACACCATCACCATGTCAGTTGTTATGTACGTCGTGTAACTGATATGGGACTGCTGTCAAATGGCACGGTAAGATATCATGTTACAGAAGTGGAAAACGTGTGGTACGATAGTGATGCAAATAACTATTGTATCTTGACGTCGGCAGCAGGTTAGCTTGTAGGCTAGCGTTAGCATGTAACGTTAGGCGCTCTCAGCTTTATACGTGTAAACACAACTGAATTGACGCACGTCATGCTTTCCGCCATTGATGAAGGTAACCCACACTCCGCTGCTGTAACTGGCTTGGTAAACTCAGTTTTATTGAGTAGTGTTAGTCAACTAACTTAGATTCCTAAAAGTAAAAGCTTATTAGCCAAGTTAGCTGCGGATTTAACATGGCTAATTACTATAGCTAACTTGATCACTGGTAACTCTCTTCTTTCTGTACTTGTTGTTCGCCTTGTATCTCCACAGGTGCTGAGAAATAGAAGGAAGAGATTTGAACACGGACCAGGACCTCAGGTTTGACCTCAAGTGGGTGCCGACTATCACACCATGTTGGTGACAGCATATCTTGCCATCATCTTCCTGCTTGCCCTGTGTGTTGCCCTCGAGCTCACAGCACGCCGCCTCGTCCCCCCTCAGTCCACTCCTGCTGTAGCCAACCCAGTTTTCCGTCGCTTCCAGAGCGTATTTCTTCGGGCATACCTTTTGGCTTTGTCGGCAGACTGGCTCCAGGGTCCTTACCTCTACAAACTCTACCGTCACTACAGCTTCCTGGAATCCCAAATAGCCATCTTATATGTGTGTGGCCTGGCCTCCTGTGTTCTGTTTGCTCCAATTTCAGGCTGGCTCCCTCAATTCTTGGGTCGCAGACAGACATGTCTTCTCTTCTGCCTGTCCTACTCTGCGTGTTGTCTCACCAAGCTGTCCACAGACTACTTTGTTTTGATTTTGGGTCGGATCCTGGGGGGTCTGTCCACATCCCTGCTCACCACCACATTTGAAGCCTGGTACGTGCACCGGCATGTAGTTGTCCACGATTTCCCCAAGGAGTGGATCCCCGGTACCTTCACCAAAGCTGCTACCTGGAATCACGGGCTCGCTGTGGGAGCAGGGCTGGTGGCTAACTTGCTGGCTGATTGGCTCCACCTGGGGCCGGTGGCTCCCTTTCTCCTGGCTGTGCCCTGCTTGGCATGCTGTGGCTGGGTGGTGCTAACCGACTGGGGCAAGGAAGAGGCTGAAGACGGTCCTGGAGGGGATGAACAAAAACTGCCTCTTGGCACTCCAAATGGAGGTGTGACCCGTTTGTCTGCGAGGGCCCGTTTCTCACGCAGCTGCCATGACGGGTTGCGCTGCCTGCTGTCAGACAGGAGAGTCATGCTCTTAGGTGGAGTGCAGGCTCTGTTTGAAAGTGTCCTTTACATTTTTGTTTTCCTGTGGACCCCGGTACTGGACCCTCATGGGCCTCCTTTGGGAATAGTGTTCTCTTGCCTGATGGCTGCCAGCATGGCCGGCTCCTTGCTGTACCGAGTAGCCACCTCCACCCGCTATCGTCTACAGCCTGGCCATGTTCTCTGCCTGGCTGTGCTGATGGCCTTCTTCTCCCTCTTCATGCTGACCTTCTCCACTGCCCCAGGCCAACCTAGACCTCATGAATCCTTTCTGGCCTTCTTGCTGCTGGAGCTGGCCTGTGGGCTCTATTTTCCTGCCGTCAGTTTTCTCCAGGGCAGGGTGATCCCAGAGGAGAAGAGGGCTAGTGTGCTGGCCTGGTTCAGACTGCCTCTGCACCTGCTGGCCTGCATAGGGCTGCTGGCGCTTCATGGGGAGATATCAGGAACAGGTGGCGGGGAGGAAGGTAGCGGCACCAGACACATGTTTGGAGGCTGTGCTGTTATGATGCTGGCAGCTTTGATGGCTGTAGTCAGTCTGTTTACTCTGGGCAGAAATGACACAGACCTGAGACTGGAAGGAACCAGAGACGAGGGGGACATGTACTGAGGAGAGGAACCACATATTTAGTTAAGCTTGACTGGTTTTGAATGTAACGTGCCTGTTTTGTGCGACTAAAAGTAGAGTCCCGATGTGTTCCAATGATCATAAGTCTATAGTTTGCCAAATACAGGACTGAAGGAAATCGAAGTCCAAAGGGGGGGGGGGGTTAAAAAATCAGTTAAATTTTATTTTATTTGTACTTGTTACCATGTTGCTTCTCAGTTGTTGTGTTTTTTTTTTTTTTTTGGGAGATACTTTTACTAATCCTGTCCGTGTGGGGCTTCTTTGGGAACATAGCCATATCGACCTTCATTTGTCAAGTAATGTGCTGCAATGTCCAAAACTCCTGTGTATCAAACTATTCCAGATAACACAGTATTGCCTCATTGTGTGCACCAATAGGGAGATGGGGTGAAGTGTTTGACACAATATAATTAATTTCACTTGTCAGTGAGAAGATCAGTAATATATAGATGTTCCATCATATTTTAAAACAGACATGAAAAGAGAGAGCTCAAAATGTATTTTAAAAAATGTAGACCAGTATCTGAACATCAGTTCTTGCAATACTTCTCTATGATTTCTGTTCCTGCGTCTGTTTTATTGAAGAGAGAAATGTACAGTTTGTTGGTTTTACTTTGAATACTTCTTTTGCATCATCTTTGGGATATTTTCTCATATTATCTGTGATCTTTACACTTTTAAATAAAAGTGTACATAATTCATATTTAATTGTTGGATATAACTGGAATTTAAATTTGTGCCATATTGATGTTTTGTAATATGTATTCAGTAGTATCAGTTTGGGTTTCCAAATAATCCAAAATAGTGCAATATTGAATATTTTAATGTATCTTTTCTTTAAAGGGAAAATGTAATGTTAATGCTGCTCAAGCTACATTTTTATTTTATTCAAAATTAACAAAAATGTTTAGCGTTAATGTGTTCTGCACCAATCATTTCAAAAAATACTATAGATAATGAACATTCATTTAGAAGCTAAAGCTGTAAATTATTCACATTTACTGAAAGAAGCCACTTGCGTTTTAGGTAATTGAAATGCAAGAGTCCTATTTATATACACAGAAAGCGTTTTTTTGAGCCAAGTTGTATATCACTCTCTCTTAGGTTTTGCTGCAGACCATATTTCCGGATTTCTCCGGACGTCTCCAACGGCCTATATGCAGGCATCCATCCTCCCCATTTTCCCTGCTGCTGTGGTACAGTCCCATCTGTTCTCTATGATGCAGCTTCACCTAGATGCTGCTAGAACATCACTCTGTGGGTGAGGGAGGGGTATCTGCACGAGTCCTAACTGCGTTGTTTTGGGATTATGTCACTAAATCGTCAGATAGTGTGTCCAGTCTGAGCAGGCAAGAACAGCACTATCAATCTGAGGTCCTTTCACACAGCTTTCAGTCCTTCAGACTCTGCAAGACCGACATTAATAAAGAAGGAGACACCTGAGCCCCATTGACTGGTTGGCATACAGAACAGGACGCAACAGACAGCCATCATGACAAAGGGCAAGGTATGCGTTTGCTTTAATGTGATTCAGTTAATGTTTACGTTTGACAGATTAGGATTTTCTGTATGAGGTCTAGAGTGTTACATAACAGTGAGCTGATGTGCGTGTCTCTACTGCAGCCCTGTAGTCTGACTATTGTGCTTAATGGTAATGACAGCTTTTCAGTTGCAATTACCACCAAATTGCAGATTATTGAGTAATTTCAACGAATAACTAAAATTTGGGTAGTGGATTTTAATAACATGGTTTTGTGTCCCGCAGTATAATCACATTTTGAGCCACAAAATAATAGCTGTTACATAAAGTGTTGTATTTTTGATATCTGTTGTGCTGTTGTGTTCAATGCTCAGCAGTTGAGTTTCCTGAATTTATATGAATGAAATGCGTCACAGGCTGTTTCACCATGATGCGTCACCAAGACAACCCTTTTCTTTCTGTAGCTCTAGTTAGTTAACTAACGTCAAGCCAAACTGTCTCCAAGTCAGTTTGTGCCCCATATTCTGTCAACCAAATGGGAAGAACGGAGTTGAAAATTCTGAGTTTTTTTAAAAACATCGTCGTTCAATAGTTAGTTAATTAATTAATTAATAACGAGAAACCGATGCTCTGTCGACCCGCATGCTAATAGCCTCACGTTACCTGAGAGCCGGGTTTAATCAACTGGACGCTGCTACTGCATGACAATAGGATCTGTCAGCATGTCAATCAAAACTCTTGTAATAGACTATACCAGCACTAATAACGGTTACAAGTTAATGTGTTGGTATAAGGCTGTCACTGCTATCAGCTTACGTTTCAGTTGAAGTTGTAGAGATAGACGCTGAAACTATTTAAATATCAATTAAAGTATAAGTACTGAAAGAAGCTGAACTGTCAGTTGGCGAGTGAAAGCAGTTGGTCTGTGAGTAACAGCCATAAAATGTGATGGCAATACACATCAATCCAAGTTTAGGTGATTGTAATACAACACTGTACAACAGCATCTGCAAATCCGTCATGATCATTAATCTTGATAGCCCACTTTTTTTTCATTTTCTGATATGGTGAAGCTGCAATATGACTGACTTGTACTCATCCTGAATATGCATTATACAGTGTGCTTCTTTGCACCACAGATGCTACAATTTTAGTATGTCTTATGTCACACTAATTATCAAGTTACTTTGCTGACACTCTAGGGAACAGTGCCTAAAGCATTATGCAACACTGATAGTATCTGAAACATTTGATTCATCCTCACCATAAATGTATAAAAGACTAAAATCTAAAAAGGTAACAACTTGTTCATCTTTTGTACTACTGTGACAGCTGTCACTTGCAAACAAGGCCACCAATGGCTCCAGTGTAGAAGCTTTGGTGTCACCAACTCCTCCCAGCTATGAGGAAGCCACTGCAGGTATGGCAACACATTGTCCTTCTATATTTGATCATAAAGTCAGTGTGTCATTAACGTAGGATTACAGAAGTATATGTTGACTGCTATGCATATACATCCCACCAAAAATGTGTTGTCCAGGCACCAGTGCTCCTTGCTACAATGATGTTGAGACGCTCACAGAGTTCACCTGGGATGATCGCAACATCAGGAGGGTCTTCATCCGTAAGGTATCAGAAAGCTCTATTGATTATAGTATTAGCTCTGTTGTGAATGCTGTGCATCGCTTATAATTGACCTCAAATGAATATTGTTAAACTTCTCCTGCTCAGCACATGCCACTACATGTACGACTATGCAATATTTTTTCATTGCTTTCTTTTAGGTGTACGCCATCTTGATGATCCAGCTTTTGGTGACTCTTGCGATTGTGGCTATTTTCACATTCTGGTGAGTGTAAGACCAATCTTTTTCAATTGGCTCTCATGTGTTACAATATTGAACAAGTATTTGTGGGTAGTGATCTTACTTAAGACTGTGCTCCTTTTAGTGACCCAGTGAAAGACTACATTCAATCCAACCCTGGCTGGTACTGGGCCTCTTAGTAAGTAGAGTGAGACTCAACTCAGTGTAATACACAGTCACTCTGTATGTTTTCTGGTTCATGTCACTTCTATATAACTAAATATCTAACTATGTTTCTGTTGTTCACCAGTGCTGTGTTCTTTGTCACATATCTGACCCTATCTTGCTGCTCTGCACCAAGGTAAGTTAAAGCTTCTCAAAATGAATTGCACATCATCAACATAACAAAACAGTGTTGTGATTGTAAACCATACTCTACTCACTCCTACAGGAGACAGTTTCCATGGAATCTGATTCTGCTCGCCATCTTTGTAAGTACAGCTTAAATGATCTATTTTATTGATACATTTTATAAAATGTAATGCTCTCCGGTTATGACTTGTCAAAAGAGATTTGAACAAATACCTGCATTTTTACAATGCTATTATATGTTCTGTTGCAGACCCTCTCACTCTCTTACATGACAGGGATGTTGTCCAGGTACACTTTTATGATTGCTCACAGTTCTATGTCATTGTCTTGTGTTACTTTGCATTGCCTCTTTCTGCTTTAGACCAGCTAGCATGATCCCATTTGCATCCAGATAATAAGGCAGCCATGTATTTCCTTTACAGTATGTGAGGTTGTACGTGTCATGTAGGCCTTTATAAAACTGTGTTGTGTATTCTGTTTAAAATTTCTTGAAACATTTTCAGCAAGTTGTGTTTCTCGTTTGAATAGCTTCTATAACACCAAGTCAGTGGTGATGTGTCTGGGCATCACAGCAGCAGTCTGTCTCCTGGTCACAGTCTTCAGCTTCCAAACTAAGGTGAGGAAAAAACAATTGTTCCCTTACTGTACTTCATACATTATTTGATATACTGTATGCATGATGGAGAGCAAAAATCACTCACATGTCAGCTTTTCCCACTGTTGTATTAACATAGGTTTGATTTCATGTGCTTTCTCCATCTAGTTTGATGTGACATCATACCAAGGCGTGCTCTTTGTCTTCTGCATGGTCATGTTCATGTCTGGAATGGTGCTGGCAGTCGTCCTTCCCTTTCAATATGTAAGTATGACGGTCAAATTAGACAGTCACATCAGTTGTGTCATGTGAGACTGGAATGTGGAGGATTTTCACGCAATCAGGACATAGTTCTATCAAATGCAGCTGACAAACATTTAAAACACTGGCATCTCATCTAATCAAGAAACCTTTTGCCATTTAGGTACCCTGGTTGGATGCCACCTACGCTGTCCTTGGAGCCATACTGTTTACAATGGTACGGGTGCATACTCTGTCAAGCCATTACTGATAGTCAACAATGTGTGACCATTTCTATCAGAATCAGAAAAACAGAAAGATGTCATACTTGCTGTTTTATTGTCTGTTGCAGTTTTTGGCATTTGACACCCAGCTCCTCATGGGGAACAAGCGCTACACCATGAGTCCAGAAGAGTACGTCTTTGCCTCTCTCAACATCTATCTAGATATCATCTACATCTTCTCCTTCTTCCTCCAAATCTTCGGAACAAAACGAGAGTAAAGCAACGCTCCACCTTTCTTACCTGTAAGGGATGGGAATCTAGGCAGACATGATTTTGACGACAATGCTTTCAATTGTAACAGCTTTATTTTTTTGCCTGATACTGATAAGGCCACAAATACTTTGTGAATCTCTCTTACAGCTATACATGTACATAGATGTATGTCAGTGTTCACATCCAAAATGTCTACAACCTTCCCCTCCCCTCTAGCATGTTGTAAACCCACACCACATTATGGTTAGCTTAACCAGCAAAAAACAATCCGTGATCTTACTCCGTTTACCGTAGATAAAACAAACTGTGAGAGTTCATCTGAAGTTGTGTGGGTGTCTGTATGTCCATACCTGCTTAGATATCACAAATGTCCTGCAGAAAATAGATGTCAGTGCTCTTTGAGAGGTATGTGATCTATAACACATTATGCATGACTCTTAAAAAGCTCGAACTATGCCTAGTCATCACATCATTGGGTTATTGTTGGTAGTGGTGATTTAAGGACTGAAAGCACAAATGTGATGATAAAAATATACTTTTCCTGTGTTTTCAAGCATATCCAATGTTGTCTCAATACTGTGAATTACGAGAAACTCCATGCTGTTTTGGGGGGATAGGTGACATGTCATCTTTTTAATGACAATTTAGAAATATGATTCATTGAATTTGGGATATTGTTGTTCCTCATATTTACTGTATGCTGTATTGTCTATATGTTGGTTTTACTCCATTTAACTCTGAGGCATTCATTCATTGCACTCCCATTGTTGTGTTTACTAGTAGTATGCCATTTGCTTATTAATATGTGTGTTTGAACCTGAAATGTTTTGAATGACGATTGTGTAGATATATATTTTTTCTTCATGAAAGACATTTAGTTTGGGCAAAGATTGATTGTTCACACTATAGTTTTCGGTCTTGATATTATTTAAACTTCTTTATTTGGTCTGAAGTGGTTTCATATGATAATCAAATATAAAGATGAAAGTGCCATACAAGCATGAATTTAATGTAACTTTTGATAAGGCCTGTTTTTGTGGAAGGGCTTGAAAGTTATGTTTCATGACATTTGAAGTTTATTTTTTTATGACAGAATGATATATTTCAGATAGTCTGTGATATAAAATGGTGACTTTGAAGCTTGATATGAATTCATAAGTTGTCTAAAGTGGCCTTGGACTACCTTTATGTAATGATATTGATTCAGTATATTGTTTTTTAGAGCACCCTGTATTTGACCAACACATTAGTGTTATTGTATTGATTTATTAAAGGGTGAATGTGTCTGAATGGTCTCACCGAGTATCTCTGATTTAATAAGTAATAAAATGCCCTAACACTTCCACATTACCTTTAGTAGCAGTACCTTTAGTCTGTGTTAATCATGAATCACCAGCTAAGAAAAATGTTATGCCACTTTTCATAGGAAAAAGGGGGCTCAACTTCCTTTTAATATTTTCAGCCGAAACATCTCAGTATTATGGAGGTGTCTTAGGTCTCTTTCAAAATATTATGAATATTCTCCTGTAATCACCTACTTACACACTTCCTCCTTTAAAATGTGATGCAGTTTCTACGTGTTAATTACCAGCACCTCTGGTCCTCTGATAAATTACTTTTCACATTATTTCAGCTGTGTATAAGGTTGCTTCTCCCACTATGTTTATTTTGGAGCCATAGTTCTATTTTTGAAGTATTTCCCTGACAAGCGGTAATTTTAATGTGTAAATGTATTTATCATAATATATTTTTGTCTTAATGGTGTATGTCTGTGTGTCTGTTCATGTTTCATGTTTCATGTAGTGCTGCTTTGGCAGGTAATAGCTGGTCTTAATCCTGAACAGGGTATCTCCCTGGCTTGCATGTATGCTGTCTGTCAATTGAATTAGAGAAATACTCAAAACCTATTTGTCTCCTTATGAATGGTTAAGGCATCTGAGAACACACTTTGTGGCTGTATGTGTTTTGCATAAAAATCGGATTAATTCATTGAAATCATAATTAGAAAAAAAAATCAGAGAGGACAAGATCGACTATTCCTCGACATGCAATTGTGTTCGTGCGTGAGTGCGACAGACACAGGATATGAAAGCGGTAACGCTAAATAATTGCGGGCGTGTGGTCTACATGTGTTCAGAAGTCAAAGCCGGCGTGTGACGTAATATTAAATGGTCTCCTCCAGTCTGCAATCAACCAGTAGAAGACGGGTACACTCAGATTCACAGCATCCAGTCATCCAATCACAATGTGCGATGGTTGAGCGTCCTATTCAGCCATGTTGTGGTTTTGAATGAGGAAGAAGCGGGAGATAATATTCTTCAACGAGTTTATATGCTTTTTAAAGTCACGTTAGGGATATATAAATGAGTTAGCGTGGGACTCAAAATGATAACCGTTTTTCCGAACGCGTTGGTTGCGACTTGTCGCATTCCTGCTGGAATTTAAACATACTTCCATAAATTAGCCGCGTCGTAGCAACATTAGCTAGCGCGGTAGTTAGCATAGTGTGCTAGCTAGGCAACTAGCTAATTCTCAACTGACTAGCCAACGGTTAGGTTTCATTTGTGAAATGATAATCGTGAGGACTGTTAGCTTTTGAAACAGCCTCAGCTAACCTACCTCAGTCGAATGAAGCGCACTGGCTTCATTAGGTTTGACTATATAGACAGGTAGACTTAAAGTAGCCATAGCGATTTATCTTTAAACCAGCGGCGTTATTTCTAAAACTTTTGAGCCATGTTGAATCACATCTACGAATGGATAGAAACGAGCTTTGCCAATCTTCGCAATGGTGAACCAGCTGTGGAGGACTCTGACGGACACCGGAGACCGGGCGATGTTCCGTTAAGGAGGAAAAGACCACTTGAATGGTATGAGCTGTAACAGCATTACTCCCGTGTGGAACCACAAGTCAGTGTGTTTAAAAAGACCGACCCCAGTTTGCTTTTAAGTCATTTATGAGTCCGTGTAACGTTTCAATTTGTCGAAATGGACGGAATGTGTTTATTAACTGTAAAGCGTCTATCTGTTTTTTTTCCTTAAGTTTGGAAGATGGACATAACATCGACCAAGATGGCTTAATCGTAAAGAAATCTCGAATGGGTAATTAATAATTAACTTTGTTACATATTATGGTGTGAGTGTATGTAGCGATATAATCAGTATTATCATGTCTTGTTTTAAATTCCTTTAGGGGATCTTATTGACACAGTCAAGGTTGCAGCTGAAGGGGTTAAGAGTCACAGCTCCAGTGTGGCTACATGGATGAGAAACAATGTAAGCCCTACTTTGAGCAATATACTGCCTGCCTATCCTGGTCCACCGCCTGGAGAACCACAGCCCTCCACATCAGCATCAGTCTGGGCTGGGATGCCGGTAAGGGATAAATGTTTGGAGCCTGACTGTAGAGATGTCAAAACATGTTTTGCCTTGATTTTAAAGAAGTCATGTGTGCTTTTGCTTTAAGATTGTTGAAAGGAACTGTCTGGATGAGACGTTCGTTGCTCCCTCGACAACATTGGAGTGGAAAACATCCAAATCGGGTAAAATTGTCACTTAAACTTTTGCAAAGCTAAAGTTTGGCCAGGCTTTAAGCTCTCGGAAAGAAGTTAATTGTTCTACTGTTTGTTTATCAACTCTAGAATGGTTGCGCAATGACAAGAACATTATGGGATCAAAAGTCTGTAGGCGACAAGTGTGCATGAGTCCTACACATCGTGAAGTGCCAAAAATAAATGGGCATTCAGTCAACATGTCACCCTCCATCACCCCAAAATTGCACCCATCTCCACGGTTAGGCAGGCCCCTGAACCTCCGACCATATGCAACACCAAGGTATCGTTGTGTCTTTGTTTTTACCTCCTCCCATTTCAAAAGTTGCTTTTTGTTATATGACGCGTCTTTATACTGTGTGATTACAACACTGTCATTTTCCGTCTGCAGTTTTAGTGGAGTGGCAAGCAGCTCCTGCACTAGTATGTATGAGAAGACATTTCCCATCAAAGTGGTGCAGAGCCCAACACACAGCTCCTCATCTGGGCGCATGCACAATGCCAGACCTCACTGCACAGCACAGCAGGTCAGACACCAGGACAAATGTAATTCCTGCTCACTCAGTTGTTACATGACTTCATTTATTTACTGGTTTTCCTCTCTGTTTGTCCAGTCTGTTTGTGAAGAGGAGAAGGAGGTCTACAGGCAGCTTCTGACCATGGTCTCTGGTGGTCAGTCATCTCTCCATCACAACGGCAGCTCACATGCCATTGTGAGGTCACACAGAGATTTGTACGTAATCATACAAATGCAGTCGATTTTAGCAATGCCAAACCCTCCATGAAGTATGCAAAGGAATACAGAGTGTGGGTGTGTGTGTGGGGGGGGTGTGGCACAGAAGAAGGTGTTCTGTTTAAATGCAGTCACAGGCCAGTGGGTGGCTCCATAAGCATAAGATCAACAGTGGTGTTTTATCCAAAACTCCAGTTCTTGTGTCAGTTGCTTACTCTGCGTAGCCTGAAAGGTGTTTACAGATACTCAATGGTAGTCGCATGTATGCTTTGTAGTTGGAACTACCAGTTATTGTCCATCTTTACTCCGATTACAAACCTTCCCTACATTTATGTGGGTAGTGAATAAGAATGCTAAATACATTTGATTAGTTCCATGTCTATCCTTTATCACTTTGACTGCTCTGGACTGTATCTAGATAAGTGCCTGCTCTCTCATCTGCTTACCCTTCACTTTCTCGTCAGTACCAGCTTCCTGACTACGAGCCGCAGACTGCTACAGTTCGCTTCCCCTACTAGGTCACCAGTAGGAGGAACTTCAGAGGGACCCAGCAGCCCCCCCAGCCCCACAGGGATGTCCAGCCAGAGCTCCAGCAACCTGCCCAGCCCGTTGTGGAATTCCAATAGGCCGGGGATCCAGACGTGGTCTCTGGACACAGACCCCAGCTCCAGCAGAGCAGCTACTCTCACAGCAGCTCCCTCTCCATCTGCTCTTATGGATAACTCTTCTCAGGACACACAATCATCAGGTCATTTTTGTGTGTGTGTGTACTTAATGGAAATATAGATATCGTGAATTGAATATTTGCTTGGTTCTGTACTCTTTCTTTGCTTGTAATGTTCTTGTCTTTTCTTGCAGCTCATGATGGTGACTCTGTAATTATTATAAATGAGCAAAAGGGTAAAAAGCAAGGCCGCTCAAGGTTAGTATGGTTCTTCACTCAGTGTTGCTACTTTGTTACTTACGTCTTTACTTGACAAGCTACATTTCACTGTAGTTAATGTGCAATGTGTGACATGATTAAACATTTAAAAATGTCCAAGATGTAGATGTCTTTACATTTCACGTTGGATGCTGTTACTTAACTTCGAAATTTAATTTGTATAGACCCAGACACACCATGTTACGTCTGTGATTCTTGGTGCAGTAAAAACAATGACTTATGTCATACATGTTGGATACATGTTAACTGAGTTCTGTATTTTTACAGTGTGCCATGTTTCCAAGCAGAGTTATGGATCAAAGAATTGTAAGTACACTCCCATGTATTAGATTATATAAATGACTGATAATTATGTTTGAACAGAGAAAAACGTGTATCTTTTGTCACTGTAGGACGAGTATGTATGACTCTCGGGCGAGAGAAAGACGGAGACACATTGAAGAGCAGGAGACCTTGGCTGCCCTGTTGCTGCGGCAGGTGAGGGTCCACCACTGAAGCTCTCTTTCAGGTTAAAGTGTTATCCAATCGGTTGTATCGCGATCGCTTCTGATCCCACTAATCTGTGTCATGTTGTTCCTGGTTCTCAGCGCCTGTCTAACGAGTCGCAACGCAGCCCAGATGTGGAGGTCCATGTCAGAGTTCCTTTGGAGAAGGAGGTTCCTTTGACTCTTGTGATAGAAGAATCAACGCCTTTAGAAGAGAAACCCGAATTCCCCGAATTTACAGAGGTGTGGTCATTGTGTCTTAATGAGTATGCAGTGTTTACTGTGTATATCATTTATTTAGATGAGACAAAAAAAAAATATTTCTGACTTTCCTTTTTCTTCCTTTTTAAAAAGTAAAGTAAAGAGTGACTAAATGGTTGCCTTATTGTTTTGCTGTGCATGTTGATTTATTGTTAATTCCTTCCAGCTGACATGAAGTGCTCTATGCTACTTAAAGCCAGGGTTGCTAGATTTTGAAAACTCTGTTTGAATGAAAGTAGCAAGCAGCACTAGCTACAAATACTGTAATGAATATAAACAACAAACTTGGCCTTTAAGTTTAGACCAGATAGTTTATTTTTCTCCACACGTTTTAGTCCCATGCTTTGGTTGAAAACAATAAGACCAGAAACAATTTAAATATTAGATTTAAAAATAAAAAGCATTTTATTTACAATAAAACACATTTTGTTTTTGTTTCTGCCAGCTGTCAAGCTGTATGATATTTGGAACAAATTGATATCTAATGAAAATAAAGGTTAATATTTGTGTGCTGTCTCTTTCTGATCAGGAGATGGAGGCTGAGGTGAACAAGGGGCTGAGAGGAGGGAACCATGAAGTTTTAAGTGAAGGTTTTGGTCTCAGCCTTACACGCAAAGACCTGCAGACCCTCAGCAACCTGAACTGGCTCAATGATGAGGTGGGTGTAAATGATCCTCACGGTCACAGATCTGTGTGTGAATGATCAGCGGGCATTCATTTAGCACCAGACACACACACTCCTGTTTTGATTATGTATTCATCACAATGTTCAAAGAAATACCGTATTTTCCGCACTATAAGGCACACTTAAAAGCCTTTAATTTTCTCAAAAAACGACAGTGCGCCTTGTAATCCGGAGCGCCTTATATATGGATCAATTGGTTAATTGGTTGATCTATACTGGTTGTACACGGCGCTCTGTCAAAATGTTTCAGTACGACTGGTAAACTACAAAGCCGCACCGCTTGCAGCATTACGGCTACCGTAGTCAGGGGCGTCGCCGAAGTAATAGCGGTAAACACCGGTACTGTGCTTACTCCTAGTCCAACACCACTTGTGTGTATAAAGACCCCAAAATGGCACCTTTCAAGAGACACGCTTACGACGCTGAGTTCTACGTAAGTTGAACAATTTCGAGAGTTACTATATTGTGAATGCACTAACGTTTGATTTAGTGGTATCAGACTGTTTCTTTTACGTGTTTACTGAATCAGGGAAAAGTTCCCCTCTACGTTTAAGTTACCGTATTGTGAATGAAATCAAAAATCAATAAAGTTTGACTGAATGATTTATCTGACTGTTTTGTTGACATTCCCTTTAGCACAGCTCCATCTAGTGGATGCATAACGCAACCCCTGTCAAACGTTTGACTGTAGTAGCTTCTATTCTATGCGCCTTATAATCCGGTGCGCCCTATATATAAAAACAGTTCTAAAATAGGCCATTCATTGAAGGTGCGCCTTATAATCCAGTGCGCCTTATAGTGCGGAAAATACGGTACTTGACCGTGGTTATATTGTGCATGTAATAATCATCACACAACTGAGTCGTACAGTTAATTGAAACTCTCCCTACTTAATATCGAAGGTGATCAACTTTTACATGAACCTGCTGGTGGAGCGCAGCAAGGACCCCGGCCTGCCATCAGTCAATACGTTCAACACTTTTTTCTACCCAAAGCTGCGCAGCAGTGGCTACCCTGCTGTCCGCCGCTGGACCAAGAAGATGGACATCTTTTCTAAAGACGTCCTGCTGGTTCCTGTCCACCTGGGGGTGCACTGGTGCCTCTCTGTAAGTCTTAATCACCGTAATTGCAAACTTGGAAGTAGCAATCTTTGGAGTTTATGTTGCAGTTTTTTTATTGTGCAACTCTTTCTCTTAGGTGGTGGATTTCCGCAAAAAGGCTGTCATTTACTTTGATTCTATGGGAGGAAACAACGATGAAGCATGCAGAATGTTGTTGTGAGTTTCAGTATCCGATGTGTTTGTTTGTTGAATGGGATGTATATTTAAAGAGGTACATGCAACTCCTGCTAAATAATTTTATGAGCCATCAAAGTGTATAGAAAGTAATTCACTTTCTCCCCCAGTAACTACCTGCAACAGGAAAGTAAGGACAAGAAGGGCAAAGAACTGAATACCGTAGGCTGGACTCTGCACAGCAAAAAGCGTAATGTAAGTCCAAAACACATGAGGGCGGTTAGCATGAAGTAGTCTGTTTTCATTGTTGTCATGAAACTGCATGTGTTTTGAATTTTTGGATGGGTTTCCATTATCAGCAGAAAGTTCTAGGAGCAAGTAGTACCTCCATAAATATAAATCATCTGTGACATAAAGCCTCTGTTCTTTCACTGGCACATCCGTCAAGTGACCAATTTTGGTTTGTCTTGGTTTCATAATTTACTGCGTTTCTCATTAACAGAACAGTATAATTCACAATGTTGCTTTGTGTTACTTTCACAAGTGAGCTAGGTCGTTGGAGCAGTGATGCATCTGAAATATCAAACAATCTATTAATAATGCTATTGCATTCTCAATAACATTTCTCATGATGCTGTATGCTTATGTAGGAAGAAATCCACTCTAAAATGTGATAGAATTTTCAAAGCAAAGTCCAAGCAGTAATTAGATAGTCATTGTTATTAATAAAATATCCTGTCAGACCTGTACAGATATGTTTTGCATCATGGAATGTCCAATAACATCTTGCCCCCCCCTCCCCCCCTTTTGCTTTCAGGAAATCCCACAGCAGATGAATGGTAGTGACTGTGGAATGTTCACATGCAAATATGCAGATTACATTACCAAAGACAAGCCCATCACATTCACACAGGTAATCACAAACACAGATTAATCTGCATATCATCGTGATAGTGGCCTAAAGATGTCTTGCATGACTTCTCTTTACTCCACAGCGCCACATGCCCTACTTCAGAAAACGGATGGTTTGGGAGATTCTGAACCATAAGCTGTTGTAGGTTTGTGTAGTCGGCTCGCGATGTTGGGAATACGAGTCGTAACGTTGGCTGAGCTACGCTCGACAGAAGGATCTACTGACAGTAGTCCTGTTTTGGGAAAGACTTGCACACCAGCTCATCAGATCAGGAACCAGCTCTGCTACTCTGCATCCTCTACCGTCAATCAAGCTCTCAGCTGATGGGATGTTGCCGGAGCACCAAGCACTGCCTCCCAGACCTCTACTCCACGTTGGTGTTTTTTGGGGCACCCGTGGAGCATCAGTTTAGCAGCTGGAACACTGCATGTTTTGTATGGCCGAGCCAGAACTGTTTTTCAAGTCGCGCTTGTACTGACTTAGAAACCATACTCTGAGCTGCGATGTGGTGTTCGATGCAGACACGCCAAGTTTACATGTTCTTGTCTTGCAGGGACTCGAGCGCTTTCTGCTGCTTCATTTTTATAACGACGGTAATACTTATCAATGTCGCTGTCCATGTTTGATACTCTTGGTACGATAAAAGGAAAATAAACTTCACTATGAAAACTGAAGTATGACTGGCTTCTAGTCTTAAAAACCTGTCTTAGTATTTGGGCACAGAACTTTATTTATTTTGTTTCCCATAGTACGAACACTTCAGCTAAAACGACTATTTTTGTAATTTGTTTGATTAAAAGGCCTAAAGCTTCTTCAGGCCTTGTCTCAGAGTATGGTTTTTAACGGAAATAGGAAGTTTTACCTGACACACACGTACTTGCAAGTGTGAAAAAACGGTCTTAGTTACGTTCTAAAACAGCAGGGTAAAAAAACCAACGGATGTTAGTCTTGATAAAAGATTGTAAATTAAGGTTCAAAGTCTATTTTATGTATTTCAGAGTCTTTTGTTTTGCAGCAACTTTTGGGCATATTCAATATATTTTTAACTTTGTACATACTTAAAACATATACAGCCTCTTGAACAGTGTAAAATACCTTTTCTTTATGGAATTCCTATTTTTTTTTTTTTTAAATCTAGATTTAAGTCCATTTTAGAAATACATTCTCATGTATTGTGACTGTTATTTGTGTATTACCTCAAAATCAATTGGGTTTGATAAACGAGAGAACCTGGATATGTGTTTGCTTATTTGAAGTGCATTATCTGTTTTACAAAGTATAAACCTGCAGATGGTCACACACCACAGTGAAAAAATGTATTTAAAAGATGACAAGTTCCAAATCAAACCAAGTTTAACCTTTAATAGCTGTAGGGGTTTTCTTATGAAATTGACAAAGACCTGCATCATGGCACAGACAGACATTTACTGAACAAAACCAACAGACTGCACAGACATCTCTGAACATGAGTTAAGAAGTGATCTTGATATATTCAATGACCTTCAGCTACAAGATTTCTAAATACTCAATCCAACATTAGCAGCAATAGTTAGTTTGACTCAATAAGCCACCATTCACTTTTTCTTCAATGTTTTGGACAGAAACAATGGAACACAAGATAGTCCGATAGAGATGTCTTTGCTTGATAGATCTATGTTCAGAGTAGTTTGAGATGACAATACAATCTTCAACATTAGCAGTGCATGAACAAAACAAAAAACAAGCCAAACAAATCTGAGTAGCACTTCACTATCCCTCTCAGTGAAATCTAAGGCATTTCTGTGAAGTTTAATTTGGTCCTGGAAATAAAACCGTGTGAATTACTCACCAAGAAAGCAACAAACAGGACCAGACAGGGCACAGAACACAACAACTGGAACTGGATGGAATGGTGAATTACATCTAGTACAAACCTACGGTGTCCATGTAAAACAACAGCTGGGCAGTCGAGTGGCCATACCTGCCTTTGTTCAATTAAAGCACACCTGCCAAATTTTTAGTCATATTAACAACTACATTTTGGTATGAAATAGTTCCCTTTTAATGCAGCAATCTTACGAACAATCAATGAACCATAGATGAATGTGTCAGTCAGAGAAAAAAACAACAAATATCTCAACGTATATGTATAATGAAAGATAAAGCCAGAATGTTAAGTAATGTTGCGAGGTGTCTCTTTGATATCTGTAGTATTGCATTTATAAGGATAATAAATTAATTGCATAGATCGTCAGACCTTGGGCGGGTTTTCCGAGCATTGGACGGAAGAGTTAAAGGATGTGGACACAGTACCAGCTGTGAACGGCCATGGGACCTGCCGAAGTTGGTTATTGCCTGTGAACCTTATACACAAACTGAATCTACATTTCTCTGGCAGGATGAGGTAAGTCAAGGTTTGCACATATACTTTATCTTACGTTGTTCCCAACTGCTTGGGGCACAACTCTGTAACAATGCATCTGAACCTAGCATACATAATGAATCCATGATCATGTGTGACACAGACAGAACTGAAATGTCTGTAAAAGAAAAAGCAAAAAACAAACCAACATTAAAGCCTCTTTGACGTCAACACTGAAACCAGAACTAGAGAACTAAGCAAACATACAAACAAATCACTATTTCAAAAACAGTTGCAAACATCTATTTCTCACTATTTGAGGCACACAACACACTATCAAAAATAAAAACAAAACATCTTTGAAAAATAGGATCAATCTTAAAAAGTATTAAAACTGAATTAACAAAAACAGACAACTTAATAAAACCTTTAAATAAGAAATGTAAAAAAAAAAAAACATGAGGGTGAAAAACAGAAATACAGAAGTAGATGCAAACAGAAACATGGTCAGTATTAAAGCATCTGTGTACTGGCCTTAATAAACCTTGATAGTGTTTTCTTAAGATATAACAGGACAGAGCCGAGCTTTACCAGTTGATCTCAATGTCTATGTAATAACAACTTCATACTCTAACAACATCTACTTCTCGCTTCAGAAATGTATTTTGGGATGCAGTGGAGATTCAGCTTCCCCTGTTATGAAAAAGTTCATGAGGGAAAACCAAAAAACACAGCAATACATACATTGCTATGTTCAGACAATGTGGTAAAATATTGTTATTAAAATAACTGAATCATTACTACACTGACAAAAGGAAATCAAAAGAAAGCCTAAATACATTTAAATCTCTTATTTACAGGCAGCTCTGTGTGAGATGTGATCCCTGTTTAGCAACTTCGGATTTCATCAAGTGGAGCAACGTGAACAAATATTTAGAACTTTCTGATAATAATCTCTGGAATGCTTTAAATCTATTTAGCTCTTTTAACGAAGTCCTCTCTTCAACCATCTCTACATTTTCTCTTCTTTGTTATCTTCTGATTGTCTCAAGCTTTGTCGAGATTGTTTGGAACTATAAATTATTTGAGAGTCAAGTGCCAAAAAAGAAGCGTTACCGCTTCAGGTAGGTTTCATACCTTGCTGCCCCCTATCTGTCTGTTTTTCTTTGAGCCTTTCGAGTCCTGCACTTAAATATTTGCACCAATCAATCAAACTAGGACACATGAAGCTAGAAACACGCAAAAACAAAAAACTATGTACAAAAAGGCAGGTTTTCAAAGCCTGAAAGTATCAGACAAAAAAATTAAGCAAAATCAGTGTCTCTTACAAAAAGGAGGAAAAAAACATGACACAAAAATAAAACATGGTGTTGAAGTATTTTTTCATGGTTTCATTGTAGCTCCCCGGAACAGTATTAGAAAATAAAAGAAATGTCAACATATGTAGTGTGTGTCTGTGTGTGACTTGACTGTTATCAAAATAGATGCTCCTCGTTCTGTTCTTCCATTCTTCCATTTGCCTGCCATCCTCCAGCCTTGGTTGTTGGAGTAAAAGAGTTTATTGTAAAACATGAGTTTGTAGAAAATATCTTTTTTTTTTTTTTTTTTGTCCTTTCTGTGTAACAGTCCGCGTTCCTCCCGAGTGTCCGGTGCCTTTACGAGCACGGTCGACCGTTTCGCGTTTCAACGCTTTGAGAGTCACTCCGGCTCCAGAGGAAGATCTGACACAAGGCGACAAGACCAGCCAATTAGAAACAAGAGCTGCTCCTGCACCTACGCAGTAAGGTGATGTATGATGAGGATGATGTGTTTGTAGTAGCAGATGTATGCACGTTAAGAGACACAAAACAATAACCACAACCCACCTCTTCACTTGTTATGCTGGTAGGTGTAGGTGGTGTGTTCTGTGGGTGTCTCTATGGCAACAGGTGGTTGGACGGCACTTTCCTGCGAGGGAGGCAGCAACGATTGAATCCATGAGTGACTGCTTCACATAACATTGATTTAAACTGCTCTAGTGAGAGAAAACAGAGGTCTTTACCTCAACTGACATGTTGGTGGCAGGCACTTGGGTGTACTGGGGGATGTAGGTCCCCTGCATAGATGTGTTTGCAGGCATGTACTGCAGGAGAGTGGAGATTTCATTAAGACATGACAGCTATAACAACAATAACACTGTTACATAAAGCTGCACTAGACAAGAAGTATATGTGAAATTACACTTATATGTCTTTATCAGCCTAAATTACAAAGGGGACCAGCAACTGAAGAAGAACATCCCATTCGGTTCTTCTCACTCTGTTGATTTACCCAACTTGCCCAAATAAAAGTCTAGTTATCTCCACAAAAAGGATTCGGCATATCCTTAAAAGCAGTGAATAAACTCTCTCTCCCTTTGTATCTTCTTGCATTACCCAATCATAGACTGGTCAAATGAACTGCTCGACATCAATCACGGCTGAATGCTAAATGTTCCGCTTTCTACTGACTGTGCCACTGCTGCCCATGGAGAGGTGGCTGAGCTGCTGCGTCAGGGGCCCCATCATGGAGGTCGGCTGGATGGACATGGTGTGGTCCATTCCTGGCGTCAAGACTGCTCCCTATTTAAAAATAATAATAATAATAAGCAGTGGCCATTAAAACAAAGAGACTGTTAGTCAGTCAGACGGATTGTGAAGGCAGTAGAATATAGAGAGAAAGGCATCTCCTGCAACAACAACAGGAAGGAGAGCCAACTGCTTTAAGATTGAAGTCACTCACTGTGGGCGGCATGATGTATGACTGATGATGTAACCAGGATGGGTTGTGTACCTGCATGATCAAGAAAGACACACATATTTCATAACATACCATACCATAAATAGATGAGACATAAAGTTAGCTGTTTTATTTTTAGATTTAAAACATTTGGCAACTAATGTTTCACAAATTATAGGTGTGCGACAGCAGGCCTGGGCTTGATTAAACTCCAGTCTGTCACAGTTTAGCATCCTAACTACATAACACCTAAGCTTTGAGGGTCTGAACTACCTGGTAGGTGGACATAGGGGAATGCATGTACGGGGAGAGGGAGGTCGGCCCCATCATCCGGTTTGGGCCAATGCTGTATGGAGAGGAGTAGAACCTACAGAGAGAGACACAGAGTTATCTGTCACCAGACCACAACATGATCACACTCCCTCTGGCTGTACAAGGGATTTGTCAGAGTGGTAGTACTGACCCATTCTGTAAGGCTGTGGTGGGGTCATAGGTAAGGGTCATTCCTCCCTGGAGAAAAGAGACAAAGGACTGTGTCAAGAGGAGGCTGGTCACAAGCAATGTTGCATAATAAAGCATGTTCAAAGAAGTCAATCGGACACAATTAAACTCACACTCTCCCCATCTCTCGTCCAGGGCCGGCCGTTCTGCAGATATTTTCCTTGGCTCTGACGCTTTTTCTGGCCTCCATCAGCAAATTTACACAACAGGGGCTCTGGTGGCACTGGACCAGTAAGAAAATATTACTTTATATCAAGATATATAGTCAGTATTATCAACTTAAAATGTTCTTTTCCTCAACAGATAATCAAACAAGATGCCATCTCAAACACCTCACCTGGAACTCCAGGTGGAGTCTTGATATATTTCCCATTAAAATGTTGGATGATGGCTTCACATTTCTCGGTTGACTCCATCCTATAGGAAAATTTCACAATAAATGTTTATTAATAACAATCACTGTAGCAGGTTACAAGGTATCATGCTGTGTGTTCTAATTTACAGTTGAGGATGTTCTACCTGCGCTGGCCACCAGAGGGCTCTCTCACCAAGATTAATACTGAAATTTGTGCAACTGGATATTTTCTTTAAAGCACATGAGGCCATCACTAATCACTTTTCGCCCCGTTGTCCTAATACAAGTAACTAAATAATCAAAGCTTATACCTGGCAAAGCCCACGCCTCGGCTGGTTCCGTTGGCGTCACGGAGGATGCGAGTGGAAATGGCCTGGCTGAAGGGCTTCAGCATGCTCTCCAGCTCCTGCTCGTCCATGGACATCGGCAGATTGGAGATGTATAAGTTGGTGGGGTCCTGCTCCTGTTGCTGAAAGGTGAGAAGCCACGAGAGGATTAATGAACGAGTATGTGGGGCAGACGAAGCTCTTCGTCGTCTTTACGAAAAACTGCCTTATGATGTCAGGAGCCCTCCAAAAATCCAGAGACACTCAAAAGCTGCCAGCAAAAGTATGAGAGGATCATACAGGGTGTTGAAGGTGCCTGCTATTTGGAAGGGCGGCCGTTGCAGGACATTAGACAGTTAAAAAACAGTCTGACAGAGAGGGAATCGGGTTTGAAGTAAAGGGTGGATTTCGTTTTGGCGTGAGCTGCACGGATGAGGGCAAAGGAGAAAAGAGATATTCAGAGATGATGAGATGGTATTCTGGCTGGACTTCAACTGAATTTCTCTCTCATTCTGACTCCCTATTTCTGTCTCTTCCACTTTTATTCATCCAACTCGTTCCTTTCTCTCTTCACACTCCTCTCTCATACTCCATCACCCATACGATATTACCAGAAGGGTAGAAGACAGGCCCATTGTGTGAGACTAGCCTCTTAGGAGAATGAAAGCGCGGGATCCAGGTAAGGGGATATCAAAGCCTAATTACATTTTAAATGGCTCTCTATTCATGGATGATCTGAAATGATTATGTGCTCTAGCTCTGTGCAGAATCACGGCAGAGACAATTTGGACAAAGACCTTTGAAAATGATCTGAAGAACATCTAAAGCATTGTGCTATCAGTGTCCCCATGCAAACATTATCATCCTTTTTCCTAGGTCATTGTAATAACATGTCGCTTGCATTCAAGCAGTAATATTCATGTGGTAATCCCGACCTTGAATGCAGCTACAGAGGCCGGCTCTGCTGGCTTGCATAAATCAGACAAATTATGCAGTTTTTGGCAATCTGAATTTGAAATTATTAGTAACAAACCTGAAAGAAACTCTTAAAGTGCCACAGTTTATCAACTATTGTCAACTATTTTGTAGGCGTCTTATATTCTTCTTTTTGGCCTCCCGTCAAACAAATTTAATTCGGCCAACAGCATCTTGTAAGATAACCGATCTGTATCACCCTCTAACCATTATGCATATTTATTATCTCAGAGTGTAGATGCGATTAAAAACCTGTAAATGCAGTGTGAATTAATTTCCATGCCATGAATAATGCATTTTGCAATCGCTGTGACCTGTGGTGAAGGTGATTTCTCCTTCACCTCCCTTCTCCTCTTCCTCCTCCACAGCAGTGCGAACTAGAGATGAAGCTCGGACCCATGAGAGCGAGCAGAGGAGACCTGCTGCGGATTTAAACCGCCAATGAGTCAGAATGAGTCAGAGAGAAATCTGATGCAAACACAAAGCAGTAAACCCGGAGTGAAATCAAGTTATTCATTGAGCAAGGAGCTGTATGAGTGTTACTGATCCAGTTTACGAGAGATCAGCTTGGTGTTAGTGGTGTGCGTGGCTTGTGAGTGTGTCATAACCTGGTAGGGGCAAGGCTGGTGAAGTGCATGTGTGATAGTGTGTGTGTGTGTGTGTGTGTGTGTGTGTTGACAGGGCGGGTGGCTGGGCACAGGGCCCCGCTGACTGGGGAGCTGCTCAGACACTGAGTCAGATGCCACCAGGGAGAACAGACAGGGCCTTTGTACGGGGAGCTCAGGGAGAAGGCCCTGGGACACACTCCCTCAACACCGACACCACTAAGAAGCACATCACACACATCATGCACGCATGTACACACATGTACATGCATGTTTCTCTGCACTCTTGTTTGTGCACACACATATTCTACAGTGCATTAATACCCATAAATACACTGATTTAGGCATACACCCAGAGCACTGCCTAGCTAATATGTACGCACACACAAGCTGAGGCTTAATTGGCTTATATTCCTCAACCATGGCTCATATAACATGACAACATGGGGAGAAAAAAACCTGGGGAGAAAGCAGGACAGAGAAAAAGCTTGCCACAGCTTTAAAAAAGAAATGTATAAGAAGCAGTTAAGGCATAGGACCAAGCTTTCTACTGCAAGGTTAATAATTCAACATTTAATTTGTAATTAATAATTCATCATTCAACTTTTTGCTGAGTCACTGTTAAAATGTCTTTTCCCATGAGCTGAGAATTTAACTCTGATAAACAATTTGACGGAATCTGACACCAAGTCACAAGAAATTAAACCGGTGAATATTGATCTTAAGTGGGGTTCTTACCTTGGCCATCTGAGCCTGCACTCCACCCGCCTTCAGCGCTGTCACTGCCTTCTGAGCTGAGGACGGACTGTCAAAGTCAACAAAGCCATAGCCTGCAGGGACGGAGACATCCAGCATGACATATAGGCTACACGTTATGGCAATGAGATATGGACACAGCATTTCATTTGATCTCATGAAGCTCTCATAGTAGTAGTAGTGTTTGAATGTGAAGAGACAGCCAGTTGGGTTTGGACTGTGCTTTTCCATGAAGGACAGATGTTTTTAGTTACAATTGTACAATATAAATTTTTATATTTTGAGCTCATGTTACAAGTCAACATGAAGGTCAAAGACTCATAATACTGTTGAGACTGTTGAGTCATTTCTCTATGAACTGATCTTTTAACTTCTACTCAACAGTTACTTTCAACCAGACGCCTCACCTTTGCACTTGTTGGTGGTCTTGTCCAGGATGGCCTTGGTGGATACAATTTTCCCGTACCTGAAAAACAGTGAGGTTTACACTCGAGGATCATCCTTTCCTGCACTTTGTAATGTGTTTGTAATGACTTATTTACATTCAATATTAGCATTGTGACATTGCTGAGGCAATGTGGTTTCTCTCTAAGCGTAACACACCCTTGTGGATTGTGCTCCATGATGACTGAATTATAATTCACCTGATAGATTCACTGCAATGACACTGAATACAATTATGCCATCTGATAATAAATGGTGTGTAGGGAAATCTTTAGAGAGGGGGAGGCATAAATTAAATTAGAGCTGCTGCACAGCACTAAGAAAGAAAGAGGAGGAAGATGAAAAACTAAAAGGAAGAAGACAAATGAGAAATACAGGAGGGTCCATTATCATAAAACCTAAGTCACATGTTTTTTTGTCACAATACTTGAGTAGGCTCATTTTGCCTCAACCAGGTCTCAAATATCAACTTTACACTATGATTTAGGAAATCGCGAAAGGTTGCATATTTCAAACTAGTGCCCAAAATTATCAAGACAGAATTCTGAGAACTTGCATATTTCATCCATAGAGGTGGCTGTAATCTGTTATGCCAAAGATTGATTGCTCCTTAACTGATGTTGAAAGCTGCTCTATTTCCATTGACTGCAGTGGTTTACACCAGGATAAAATTCAAAATACTGTAAAAACAAAATGCAGTTTTTGAGATGAAATTGTGAGACTTACATCTACATCTGCCGTGACATCAACATTTTGTAAATTATTTTCATGAACATTGGAGATTTATCAAATTCGCAGTAGCTACGTACATTACTATTTACACTTAAAGATTTTGATGTTTAATTGATCGATTCAAGTCTGAAGATGCAGGCTGGCACGTTTGGGAGGAGATAGGTTACATTTGTTTAACAGTTTGTGAGAAAAACATTGATGGACTTCGTAATTCCTGTCATGCTGGAAGCATCTGGGCATTTCTGCTCACTTGGGCCTACATTTTGGTGAAAGTTGCAAAGTGCTAGCATGTGTATGTTATGAATTTGTAATGTTTTAAACTTTAGACAGTTGCTGTAGCCCCACTATCAGGACAATAGCCCACAAAGCCAGTTGAGGAAGTTACCTATGTGCAAAGTTTGGTATATTTTCATTCATGGTTTCATGCAAGGCAGATTTCCTAGAAATAATAATAATAATATAACCGGTCACCAAACTGCTGGCTAATGTCCAGTGGGTTTGTGCACAGTGGAAAGAACTATAGATTTCCCATATCTTACCCATTCCTGCTTTTACACAGATGTCAATAGGGATCGTAACTCAAGGGGAATCCAACGTGAAGTGACAATATAGTAAACATAAATGTCTCTGCTGCATTTTCAGATTAATTCACAATGTACTATCAATACAAAATCTATCCAGCTGGCCAGCTATAGGCACTGCATATGCATAGAATGGTGCCTGGCTCAGGCAAATGCGGCAGGCAAATGCTGGTGTGCGGCAGAGTGTCAATCGGTTCCCATCTCTCCAGGCATGTGCATGCAGTGTAATCTGATATGCCTCTCCTTGACTGCCCTGTCCAATGCTGGCTCCCAGCCATACTCTCATTCTACTAACCAGCTTCTCTCTAGGCAGCGTTACACTGCACCACTGCCACATTTCATCCACGCTAGAAGAGCTACTTATATAACAATCTTTATATCTTTATTATTCTACCAAAGTGGCCATAGGTCACCCGTGAAGATTATTATGTTTTTATGAGAATATACACCAATTATAAGTTATTGACACATGTTGTATTGAATACACAGATTTTACTTGAGTTATGTCTATCCAATTGTAATACAGCGCATTTCTGATTCTAAGCAATAAGATGCCATCAGATGCCACTAGATAAAACACTTTCCTCCTATATTTCCATATGCATTATTACTGTGGGCACACAGCAATCCCACCAGTCTATGACCAACATTATGACGAACATTAAGTTCTACTTGCTGCACTCCCCTGCTTACACACTTGAGATACCCGTTTACTGATTTGCGCCTCAGAGGTCTTGGACTTCGTGATGCAGAGCGAAAAGAGGGGCTGGAGCCTCAGCCATGTGTGAGAGAGCACAGCATAGCCCAGCCTGATGTCCATCCATGGTCAACCACCAGAAACAGACCAGGGCGAGAACCAGAGCAGCAACGAAGCACCCGGAGACACAACTGCAAGGGCCGGAGATGTAGAACCAACCCCCATCCCGTCCTCTCATCACTCGCTCCCTACACAGAACACTTCAGAGCGTGCATACAACAACTGTGGGGGAGGGGAGCTTTGGGAGTGGGGTGTCCTGATACTATGCACACATTTGTTGTTCAAACTTGAGTTAAGTCAAATTCCCTACCTGACTTGTCTTCCTACTGTTTTACATAGTCCTCTACAAGCATGTCCCCTATTAACTATCATCGGATACAGTATCTTCTCTCAGTCCAGTTTAACTGAGAATTACATTGGCCTTAATGTGTTCTGCTAAAAGACAAATTTCATGCAGTGATTTTATCTGCTCTGTGAAAGCAGAAATATGAGAACTACCCCCACAGAACACCACCTAACACACACACACACACACACACACACACACCCTGAACTCCATTCACCCCCCTGATTTTCTCCCCCCCTCTTTCATGCCATTACCCTTGTTTGTCTTTCCCTTTCCCCTGGGCTCGCCGTTTCCTGTAGGGTTGGGCAGCCTCATGTGAGCCATATCTTCCAGACAGCTGTAAAAAAGCAGGCCCCTCCCTCCCTCTCTCCGTTATTCAATCGCTCTCATTTTCCCTCCTTTTCTCTCACTCCTCTCTTCTGGTCCTCATCACCAGGCTCCACAATTCAATTAAGTGAACGCAGACCATTCATCTCAGCCCTACTCGTTTTGATGTCTTCTACTGCAGGCCTAACAAACATATCAGATGGATTAGATGATGCTGTTGTTTGATGTCTGACTGCATGCTGCCCACAACAGAGTTTCCAAAGACTCACACTCACATTGATGAGCAACATGGAGTATTATTTATAGTGCAGAATATGACTTTGAAGAAGGATAGCATTGTCATCACATGTTTGATGATTATCTACAAGACAAAGGCACAGAGGAGCAATAACTCATGTAGGTCAAAAGTCTAAGAAGAAGCAAGAGGAGACACACAGACAGAATTAGCGTGAGAGAGGGAGACTAAACATTCTGTACCTAGTTGTTGGGAAGTCTGTGCTTAGCTGTGCCAAAGTGAAAGGTCTTAGTTTGCTGCCAAAATTATAGTTTGTTTTTCCACAGGGCCACTAAATGAAATGATGGGCCTTAAACAACATGTGGATGAAAATGTGGCCCTCTTCTCTGCTCCAGAAATACCTGCTACGGTGTGCTTTAGCATTAATGTCCATTTCAAGTGTAAGGAAGTCATGCAAGTATACGTAGTCATGCAATCCTTGATGAATTCAGACAGCCAGTCATCGCCTGTCTATCCATGAACCCAACACTGTTCTATCTAAATCTACTCTGCAACTGCAACCTGGTTCATTTGCACAGTGAGCAGCCAAAGAGAGATTTATTGAGTATATATGTTGAAGTTGGAGCAATGGGTCTTTGGGTAACTTACGGCAGACAGAGTTTGACCAGATCCTGGTCTGTGGTTCCTGGGTGGAGGCCACGGATGTACAAGTTGGTTTTGCTCAGCTGCTCTCCCCCACTGCTGCTGCTGCTGCCATTGCTGATGGAGGTGGTGGTGGTGTTGCTATTGTTGATGTTGTTGGGGCTTGGAGGAGCCATCTGATGGTTGGAGGGGGAGACATACGTCTGCTCCACAAAAAAGAGAATGGTTAGATTTTGTGCTTGTACTTTGGGGATGAGAAGAACAGCTTTGTTAATGGTCGACTAAGTGGCTTGCTCAAACTACGGGCGTTTGATGAGAAAGTCAATTAAAAGACACAATTAGTCACAACTTGAGAAACAATGGCTGAGATGCAAAATACAAAAGATGGATATGAAAGAAAATATACCAACATTTTCTATATGCACAGAACAAGTAAGTGAAACAATACATGACTATTATGTTATTCGTACATCCAAAGAGAAATATGAGAAATACAAAATGTAGTCTACTGTAGCAGAATGTGCAAAACAAAAATGCACACATTCATTAAAAGGTAATATATACAGAGAGGGTGGGATGTGTAGACAATGTACTACAGGCTCTGAGTGTGCCCTGGTTTAGCAGAGATGGGAATCCTAAGAAATCACCAGCTACAAGGTTATACAGATACTTCAAACCTTTAATGTTAAAATCAATCACTCTCATCTACAAGCAGCCAGCAACAATTTAGTCCCTACACCATGCTTGGACAGGAGATACATTAATGGTGGCCCTATAGTCAATGTTCTAAAATGTATTATCTTCAAAGATTAGCTGTTATTAATTAATTCCTTAAGACAATTATACACCCTTTTTTAATGTCATCATGGACTTTAGACAATATTGGTTTGCAAGAACAAGCCTGCGGTACACTGTTATCATGGAGATCTATTACAAGTTGCCTACAAAACACAGTATACATGTTGGTTTAACTGTAAATGTTGAGATATTACCTTCAGTATTACATATCTTGTGATCTTGTGAAGGCAAGTGAGCCCATTTAAATGTACAACCCAAGCGTATAACATTAAAACTGGTTAGATTTAAGTGGCTGAGCTTCAAGCTGCTGCATGAGAGGCTTTTATGCTGCAGTTTTTACTGGGAGTATTTGAAACAGTTCCAATCAAAACTGTTCACAGGGAGATCTATGGTGGTTGTATGGTTACCACATTCTTTAAAACAGAAACTTTTATATTGGCTTTTTCAAATATTTTTTTTCCGGTGCTTTGAGCAGCAAAAAACAAATTCCATTCACCAGTATTGTCTTGGGGTGGTGGCAAACATCTCAAAGCCTTAACTATCTGAATGGCATAGCGGCAAATGTTTTTTTGTTTTTTTAGATTTGGATAAACTGACTTATTAAGGGAAGATGCTTTTAAGGTCATATATGTATCTTTGCCACAATCTCTCAGATGACTGCATATATCAACTATGTAATTGAATATGCTGTGATTTATGCACTTGGACCTAAACGTCCCATCTGGTATTTCATGACCTGCTAGTTCAGTGCCACTGTACACTGCTCAAGGATGTGTAAGCATGAAAGTAGCAGTATGCAGAGACTCCGCTCACATCAATGCATGCATGCAATGAGCATGTTATTGGCTGTGCCACGATGTTCATCAGCATAAATGTACCCACATAGGCAGTGATAAGGGACCTTAAATATAGATGTGCTCATAAACATTATTTTATCCAACAGCTGTTTTCAATGATTGCATTTTGAAAAATCTATCGATACTAGTAGGACCATGCAATAAATCAAATTTGTATGGAAGTATAATGTCAGCTTAGTTTGACTTTGGTGTTGCTACCACTGCTAGCAGAGGAGGAACTGTTTAGTTCCTGTTTAGATTAGTTAGGGTCAGCAGGCTCGGCCTCAGGGAACAATGGGATGGCTTGTTGGACACCACAAGGTCAGCACTGGACCACCAGCTTATTAACAGAGTGAGAGTTGTCAAAAGACTGCTCGAATCAAGCCAATTATGACCTCTATATCTCTCTGCAGTGGATCTATTACAGGACTCTTACTAAACGCGTTTTAATTGGTCACACGTCACATCAGTTAATACAGAAGATCAACAACAACGCCAGAAATAACGGGATGAAGCTGTATTAAATGAAATATTAACGCTCAGGTTTTTTTTGCACTGTTGCATTGTTTAATGTTATGCACCACCCGTCATGTCAAATTCCTTGTATGTGCAACATACCGTGGCAATAAATGGTTCTGGTTAGCTACTTACAATACAATACAACCTCACAAACAAGTTGTTCACGAGCTGTGAAAGACTTGTGTGGAAGCAACAGCAGAGCTAACATTTAGCTAGCTAGCTAGGTGGCCTCCTGCAATGGTGCAACGGCAGCTAACGTTAGCTACACTTTCAAAACTTTGTTCAAACATAAAGCAAAATGTTAAGCCCCTTTCAGACATGGAATCTATAACTTAATTTCATTTTATAGTTAAAGGAAACTAGTTACTTCTCGAGAAACAAGATATTTATTATCCTGTTTTCGGTTTGTGAAACATACATTAGCTGTGTTTCTAATAACAGCAGATGTTATATCTATGATGTCTGATCTAGAGGTAGGACATATTATTAAAGATGCATACTAAGCATAAATGATGATGTATGCGTGAAACATAAATGTAATATACCCTTGTTAGTACAAAGCCATTTCTAGCCAAACCCTCAATACAGGACAAATGTGTACTCTAATAGCTCTTCTAACGTATACGTTGTAAACCTGCGTAATATAGCAACATATTTTCATACGCTACTGACATGAGTATAGCAACACCAATGATTCCTTTGCCAGCTTTATTGTATGCACGCTACCCATCTGCCTCAAGTTTTCCAAACTGTCTAGGAATCAGCCCTCAGAACTTACTCCGTCTTTTTAGTCAAGCTGAGAAAATCACAGTGACTCACAGAGCCCATTCATCTCGGTCCTCCTCTCTAATCTCCCTCTCTTCTTAAGCATCAATAGTACACTGTTTGTTTTTCCAAAATCACAGCCTCTTCCTGTGCTTTCCCTTGCCTTCACTGTAGGCGGCCCGCACAGACTATCAGGAGGGATGCACCTGCAGAGGCCAGGGGAGATAGGATCTGACAGGAGAGACCGAGTCCTGCCCCAAGCCTGGCTAGTGGGGCCTGTCTAATTAGGATCTGAGCTTGTTAGCGGAAAACACTAATCCCTCTCATGTGCTCTCAAGTCAGAAGGTATAGTGTCTCATTAAGACTGCTCTACGAGGCTCCTTCTGAGAAAAAGATGGCAGTGAGTCAGATCCACACCTACTCCACATCTGCTCCAGCACTAGCACCAGGTGTTTTGACACCAACGTAAGGTAACAAATATGCATTCAGAACAGCACGCATACAGTAAGAAAAGGAAACTTGGAAAGTATGACAAGAAGTGAAAATAAACACGAGGAACAACAATTCTCGTTTTTTTTTTTACTTGTAAGGTTGCATAATGTGCTCAGTTAGGCTGTGCCCCAAACCTGACCTCCTGACATGTTACTGATTTCCTTCCTACTTGTTACTCTTCAGTCGACAGCCACCCACATAATCTTGTTACACTGTTCCCTATTGCATCAGCGTCATTTTTGGAGCATTCTTTACATGCCTCTGAAATACACACATGTTTGTGTTTCTTTGCTTGAAGTGGACAGGAGTTGTGGGGGACAAGTTTTGGTTTAAGATTAGAGTCCGAGCGGTCATTGTTAAATTGAACTACATTCCTGGGGCATCACAGCTCTGTGGGAACTGATAAATAAAGGAAATCCTCCTGTGTACATACAACATACACACATTTACAACTTACATGATGAAGGCATTTATTTCTACAGTATATAATAACAATTTAATCCTAGCCTGCCAATGAAAAAAAATCTATGCTCAGTTGCTTACAGACACTCATACTACCGCTACTTCCTGTACAGAGAAGCTGGACATATATACAGTCCTCGCACCCCAATTAGTACGCAGTTATAGTTGCAGTAAGGTAAATTGCCTCAATGTATTATTATTATAGTTTTGCAAGCAGAACTACAGTAAATTGCCAACAGGGTGATGCAGAGAAAGCAGTGTGCTCAAGGCAGCAGCTGAAGACTGATGAGATAATTACAGACAGAGGAAGCAGAGGTGATGCCCGTAGGGAGTCCAGGCGACTTAAGGACTTTCTCATCCGAGAGAGAACAATGAGTGCCAAGTGAGGCTGGATGTATGCCTTTAATTCTGTAGTAATAGCAGAGATGTGAGTCATTCTGCTACATCATTCTGGCAACACAAACCTTTTGTGAAGCTGACAATGTTGGAAAATCTAACAAATCTTCACATTTCGTTAAGTCATTCATCTGTATCGCAAGAGAAGCATATAGTTGCCTCCAAAGCCCACAGAAACATAACTATATTCCTTATTAAAAGTGTCAACCATATTCATTATTTGAATAAGTTCCAAAATAAAATGCATTTTGCTTACAATTATCAATATATTGGTACTTTTCATTACAACACAGTATCATTTCAATAATGCACAAATGAACTGTCAAAGTCATAACCTCTATTCATTATTGATGTTATGCAACAAGTATGTTTACAAATCTTGAATCAAATGAAGTGTGGAGTCCTACCTGCTTGGCTGAAGAAACTTTAAAAGGCACTGTGGAAAAGATCATAGTGGAACAGACAAAATCTCTACATATTATATTTTTGCAGCCGCAAGAAAAACAGTGCACGTTGGGAAGAACCAAATAAGAAAAGTGATGAAAATCCGTGGTGTCTTGTGGCTAAAAGGTGAGACTTCTCCCTGCTCTCCTTCTCCTGCCTCAGTCCAGTTTCATTAAAAAACACCAGAAACATGAACAGATGGTTAAAATAGTCTGTTTTCAACAGGTATCATGTACCCTGAAGAGAGCAGGAAGAATGTTCAGGCTCTCTTTTCCATGTGAACTGAACCACTGACAGACAAGGAATCAAGGTATGTAAAACACACAGGGGAGGAAGAAAAAAAGACAGGGGGAGTTAATCGAAAGCAGAGGAAAGGGGGGGGGGGCGAAATCTCTTAATCCTTTTCTTTTCTCCGCCCTTTTCCCGTTGGTAAAGACATTGAACAGGGGTTACCATTTGACGTTGGATTTACAAGTCGTCCCTCTGTGTGACTTTGACCCTCTAACAATGCCAAACGTGCTAAAAAAAAGAAGCATATCTTCGTTCAAGGAAAATGTTGAGTTTGCAGAGCCCCCCCCCCCCCCCCCGAAATTAGCACATTGTCTGAATCCAGGATTCCAGGCATTCCAGGTCATTAAAATGAGCAATCTGAATTCCTGCCAGCCGCGAGGCAGGGAAGGGAATAACTCGGGGAAGGAGGGAGGTATTCTGTTTCAGCTTTGTTCAAACGTTACTCAAGAAATGCAGAGAGTCAGGCTTCGACTTCACTTGGGACACATTTTGGGCAGAAATCCTAATAGTTTAAAAATGAGGAATCAGCACACAAAATGCTTCAAATCCTAGACCTGACTAACTCACTGTTGCTTAAAACAGTTCTGTGTAATCCTGTAATTTCCATGTCTCAGAACAAAATAAAATCAATCTAGACAGTCTGCACAGAAAGGGAGGTTGAACAATGTCACCCCATGAATTATTCATATGAAAAGGCAAGTTAATCAATACGAGACCTTATATATTGTTCCAGCTCTGTTGCCATTGCTTTAGAACTAATCTGCACATCCCATTCAAACACATCCATCTTCATTAGTAATATTACATGGGCTCTGTAACTTTCATCTTTTGCATAGTGCCATGCAAAAACCATCTCAGTCACCATTCGTAGGACTGAAGGGGTGGGGCATATCGCTACGCGTAAAAGAGGAAAAAAAAACTTTGCTAACTTGTGGTTAATTCAATGAAAACATCCCCGAAACATTACACAGTTGATACAACCCCCACCAATGTACAGTAAAGTCGAATAAAATGTATCTTTTATGATCTTGTTCGCAGCCTAACGAGCATCTACAGCGCATTTATAAGCTGCTCTCTGCGTGCAGGCTAGGTATAGGAAGGGAACAGCGACCGTATCAGGGGGGAAACAAAAAGCCAAAGCAAACTGTTGTAGTAATCTACAGGTAACAATGTAACAATGTTTGTAACAATTCAGCAACAACATCAAAAAGCCGACAGCAAAGGTTGCAACAGCAAATAAGAGAGTTTTAAACGTCGCCTGTGATCCACTTTCAAGGGCACTGCAGCTTAAACAGCCGAGCAGCTTTTAACTGAAGGACTCGGAGCAACACCGCGTCGAGAAATCACTCACTGTTTACGGGAATAGAGAGGGTAGAAGTGGGATGCGGTGTTGTTATTTACCTTCTTGATGTGTTTGCCGGTGTAGCCGTTGTACGGGTTGAATCCTGTCCTTGGCGGCACAGAGAGCAGCATTTTTGCGCGGCGCTGTGTCCGGAGGAGCGGAGAGCCGAGGCAGTCAGCTGACGTCAGCCAGGGAGATTCAGCCAGAGAGCAGCGGTGGTGATTGGGAGTCGGTCCTCCCGGCGCTCTGATGTGCTCCACTCACGACACTCTGGCTATATGATAGCTCACTTTATCTCAGGATGTCATGTCCACAGGCCCCCCTGTACAACCATTAAAGCATAATAAGGAGATACATACCACGATAGTTTTGCAAGAAATATAAAAGTGCTCATCCATGTAACCCTGTAGGATTTAGACTTCGAAGTTCATTTAACCTCAATATCTAAAGGCATAATACTTATTTGCTATCTGACTCGTGGTGAGATAGCACAGGATTCTCACTAACCAGGAACTCAGTAACGAACACCCACAGAACACAAGAGAGATTGAAGTTTCTTCAGTTCACGCAGATTCATTTGTACTACACAGAATACAAGCAAATCGAGTTGTCTGGACTCAACTGACTAAAACAAAGAATTGTAACTTACTTTATACTCCCCCCCCCCCTTTACTCATCAGCCCTCAATGTTCCTCTAAACAGTCATTTCGTTCATCATGAATAAAGTAGGGATTCATAACGGTTTTTTGGATCCAGTTTCCCCTGGGGCGTGGGCTGGGCCAATGAGATATACAGTTGGTTCACTAATTAATAAATATCATAAGGGACACCTGTTAGAGGATCCTACTGATCCTTGTTCCCCATCATACTAACTCTCAACAGGAATGCAGTCCAATGTCCAGTATCTATACATCTACTATGTATGGGCCTATGTGCTGCTTGGATGGTGGCTTTAAATCTTTCCCCGGCTTTGTCTCAGTCCCCCCCCCCCCCCCTCCCTTCTTCTTAATTTATGCTCCTGCCAAACTTCTGGCTACATCATCACAGCCATCCGACGGTCATAGAGACCCAAGATGCGCCGGACAGTCTGGTCCCGGGGCCTATACACAAAGGGCATCCTTTTGCCTGGGGACATCGTGGGGGTGACATGCTGCCGGTCTCAACTGGACCCTATACCTATTTTTAGGCCTCATGAAATACATGAATCCTGTGACTAATCCTATGTCTGTGACTATATGACTATGCCGGGGCATGAACTGAGTTTGATACAAAAGAGTATGAAAGTAAGATTATAAAGATTACAGAGCCAGTATAAATGTAAGATTATAACGATACCTGAGCAAACGTATAATACAAACTCAGAACCAAAAGAATATACGTAGTTGTAAACGCATACATTTTACAGATAGATGAATAAACACATATGATAACCTTGGAGCAAATAATATAGTGGCAAACGCATACATTTTTCCTCCCTCAAGGCAATATAGCACAAGTGAAAAGGAAACAGACATGACTCACTGCGACTCTATATCCTCATGTGGCAAATCTTCCCTCCTTTGATTTATTAAATTTTTTTATTGGAAAAGTAAGAACCTGTCTCCAAGCTGTAGTTAAAGGCAAGTCAACGGAACAACTAAACTATCTGGGAAATTGTTTTCGGAGAAAATGTTTTTTTTTATACAAATATAAATACAGAGTTTTAATTTCTCCAAAATGTCGTAATGATGTGTAAATAAACTACTTCACCCTAGTTTTATTGAATCGGCCATAAACGACAACTTTTATATTTTTAGCCAATGCCTTATTTCTCAGTTTTTGTCATAATTACAATTCCACCCAAGTTTAATTTCTTAGTGGAGTGTGAGCTTTATGTTGCTCCAAGCATAGACACAGGTTCAGCTCCAGAAAATGATTAAAACCCTTCCAGTTTGAGCTTATCTGGGGGACACTTTAAATTTGTTAGAGGTGCAGTGTAGCATTTGTTGACATCTAGTGGTGAGGTTGCAGATTGCAACCAATTGGAACTTCTCCTGTGTGCCAGGAGTGTAGAGCTACGGTGGCCCTAGACGAGGCGAATGGCCCTATGTAGAGCCAGTGTTTGGTTTGTCCATTCTGGGCTACTGTAGAAACATGGTGGCTGGCTCCGTGAAGAGGACCCACTCATGTAGATATAAAAGGCTCCTTCTTAGGTCACAAAATGACAACGATTCTTATTTTCAGGTGATAATACACTACAGAAATCATTATATATATATTTGCAATATTATATTTCATTGTTGTGTGTAGATCCCCCTAAATGCTACACACTGTTCCTTTCAGTCAAGGTGAGGAGGAAGGCACCAAAGCAAATCTGGCTCGACAGAGGCCTGGACACCATTCATCCGCAAGTCATCAAAATGATCAAACCATGTTATTTTACATATTTTAATGTCACATCCTTATTACTTTGTCTAGACAATCTTTGTCATATGTTTAGCATCAAAGCACTTTTAACTATAAATACAATTTTAAAGGAAAAACAAAGCTAAATCTGAATATCTGGTTGAAGCCAACACTTGCATTCTCTTCTATTTTGGTCCTTTTAAACAAACAAAGCAGATGTATCCCCTAAAGGTGGAAAAGCTTTGAATCAGCATGTAGACCATTATGGTGCACTTAACACATTTCCCCTTAGTTAGCAGCTCTTTTCGCCTGGCTATCCGTTATGCAGTGAGTAACAGGGGAGCGCTATGAGATAGAGTACTGCCTTTAAATAAAGAATACATTTAAAAAAATGAAAGACGTGGAGAAAATAGGCAAAGAGGTTTAAATGTTCAGCGTACACAGATTATGTCGCTGTGATTATTGATGAATCCCTCAACATATCAGAACAGTAGTGTATTTTCAATTCATTCTAACATCTAATATGATAAGAGACAAAAGTAGAATTAAATGTCCTAAGTTTGTTGTATTACGCTACTTTTGGTGGAAGCTAGTTGTATACACCGGACATGTTTATGTCGGTGAAAAGCTGCTTTCCTGAACATATACCTGATGGTATTCTATTTGCCTGTGATACTGTGGAGTTTAAAATGCTGCACTCAGCTTTTAATTTACTTCTTTAACACTTCTTATATAATGTTAGGGGATGACTGCAGCTCTACTAATTTCCACATTTCTATGTTTCTTGGTCGGACCCAAATTTACAATGAACTCCTGATGTAAACTAGAAGGGCACAGAGCGAAAGGGAAACGTAATTTACGTTTCTGCACTGTGATTCGGATCCAAAATGTAATGGGATCTTCCTTGGTCCATGCTTCATCCTTCTAGAAAGTGTCATGAACATTGTGCCAGTCGTCTTTTCAGTAAGCCTTGCTGACAAACAGACACACAAACTGAACCGAAAACACAACCTCTGAGAACTGTATAACCAAGTCAGAAATGATCTTGCATCCCTCTGCTTTTTCGTCAGTTGTCGTCAATTAGATGTTGAAGAGTCTCATCATATGAATAAAAAGAGAGTTATTATCAACAGAAGTTGCTTGGCAACTAAATCCCCTGACCCCTTTGTCTCGTCTTGCGTACCCTGACTGATTAACCCCAAGTGTGTGGAAAACATATGCAATTGTTCATTCAGCCATACAGTGTGTTTTGTTTCTCGCCATGGCATTTGCATAATCAGAACTAGCTTTATTACAGACACAACTGCACAATTCAGCAGCATAGAAAGACAGAGGGCATGCCTATACACACTGTGCTTATGTTCATCTAGATGCACGTGGGATTCCGTCCTGTTCTTGTCAGACAGACCGGGGAGCTTAAGCTGAATTCATAACCTCTATCTGTCTCTCTCCCTCTATCTCTCTGTCATTCACTCGCATACATTCACACAATGTCAAAACTTGATGCATTGGTTCCATTTGCATCAACACAACATTATTCTGCATGGCCATCATTCTCTCCGGCTGGATATTGACGTTTTCTTTTTTTCTAGTGGTCCATTTTCAGCCCACAATTAGGTCACCCAGAGTTTTACACTCCCCCATTTCAATCTATGCAATGTTTTGATATGTGTGTGCGTGTTAAGCCAGATGGGCTGTGAGTTCCACACAGCTCAAGGACAGTTTGGGGAGTGACTCAGCCAACACACACTGTGAATTCACCAGTAACAGGCATATGGGGCCCGTTGGGAGCTGTGGGTTTTTGGATGGTGTTTCCTCCACTAACGGATAAAAAAAATGAATCTGATGTGATTGCAATTGTACACTACAGTAGAAAACTGTTGATCGAGCAGTTTAATCTAGATTAATCTAGACCTGAGGTATGTTTTCTGGCAGAACAACCAAAATATCACAGAAAAGAACGCTGCATAACTGCATTATCTACAAATCTAAGACGCCTGTAAAAATGTCATGCTAAACTTTATGTTGGACCGGGGCTCTGGCTAGTGGGTTGTGTGGGGGATGCCTACAGATGGGGGAAGAAGTAAGTTTGGGTGAGTGATGAGGGGGGGTTAGGAGAACACAGGCTGCTGGTGCATGCTCCACATTCCTCAGGTGTTGTCAGCATAGCTTGCTCAGTAATTACCTCTCTGTGAAAACATGCACAAAGCCTCACTTTACTAGCAAACTGAAAGGCAGCCACCAAGACACATTTTAGGCATAGTATGAGCTGGAATGATGCTTTTTTTTTCAAGAGAAGGAGCATGCCAGAATTAAATTAGTTGAACAATCACAGCCGCGGTGTATTTCATGCATGCAGTGCAGATGCAGAGCGAGGCTGTGTGAGAGTCAAGAGCTTGATTTATGGAGCAATACATCTTCTCTCAGACCTTGGCATGTGAGTCTATAGTGGCGTGATATAGACGTATACGGTTACAAAGGTGGCGCTCAGCCCTCACACACACAGCATTTATTTTATTAACTTTGCGTACAGGGAGAAGAACCTCGTGATTCTGCTTTTTATTGTTTCACGCCGATGTCATCACTTTCATCATTGACACCACTGTAAGAGAGGAAGCAGGTTCTCCCTGTCTGGGAACTATTCTCTCTCTCTCTCCTTTGCCTCCTCTCTGTCTCCTTGGCTGGCTTGCTAAAAGCTGAGGGATTGTGTGCAGATGTGCCTGGAAAGAGGCCAGCCCCTCTGCCCTGGGAGAACATGTGGTCTGGGAGTGTTTACGCTGGCACTCTTTCAAGCCGTCTCCCACACAGCGTGCTGGCGTCTGTCTCTCCTGGATG